AAGAAGTAAGGTGTATACTTTTTATGAAAATGGGTCAGAAGTAAAGGAAAAAATAAGAGAAAAGATTGAGTTGTATAGAAATAGAAAGTAGGTTTGTTACAGATTTTGATATTGACACAAATTACAATGGCTGTAAATTGGATAATGTTATGAAATTTTTATGCTAATGTGAATATTAAGATGAATATTTTACAAGTATTTGAGAATATTGTTAACTAAGTCTTTGGCTTGCCTGCATAGACTTTTATAGTTTACTGTCCAGTTGTTGGTATGACCACTCTGACCAAAGAAGTCATCAATAGTGATTTTGGAAATTTTTAATATTCATAGAATATCAAACAGCAGGTTATTAAACAATTTATAGTAATAAAGATATATTTATGATTATTATTATTAAAATATGTTTCATATAAAATACTATCATTGTATTTGTCACATAAACAGTCAAGTGAAGTTTCTATTTCCAGCCAAATAAAATAATTTTTATATTAACATATGGTTAAACAATTGATCATTTGGTTTGAACTTGATATGATAATGAATTTCTCTTTGGTTGCAGTTGTGGTAATAAATAAACTTGTTTATTTGTTAAGACCTACCATTCTGCAGTTACTATTATAAATCTATAAACAAGATTATTTGCTAAAGAGTAATACTTGTTTAATATTAAAGTTGTGATCTTTTTATTATTTGACGTTTGATTTTTAAACCTAGTGTGATGAAGGCAATTCAGATCTATCACTATTACTAGACAAAGTTGTAAACACTCCACGTTTGCAAGTCTACTCAAAAAGATTTGAGTCACTAAATTATATGACAGGGATGTTGCTATTAATTGAATAAAACGAGAATAATATGTTATTAAATAATGAATTCCCTTATTATTATATATACACTTGTTATTGTATCACTTGACTTTTATAACTCCACCTTATACTTATACCAGTTCTCCTTATGCTGGCCAGCACTGTGCTTCTTGCTTAGAATAGTCTAATAAAAACTGTGTTTAAAGATAATCAAGTGTCTAGTATAATAATTATTTCGTTTGTGAACATCGTTGCCGAAGCTGATTATTATACCGTCTGCAGATTACAGTGTGATGGTATTTGACCAAATTTATATATTTATGTAAAAACAGTTCATGCTTTTTCACATTGCAAGTAGAAGTTCAATCCTTCTCTCCAGGGGCTTTGCTGTATTCACGTCTGATCAAGGCAAGCGGGCATACTTTCTGGTACGCATAAAGTCACCGAACTTAAACTACCACAACTGGAGTGACATCATAAGGCTTGGGAATGAGATGAAGGACGTCATTGACAAAATTATAGGTGATAGTATATATTAATATCACTAAAGTCATTCGTCCTACTACTTTACATGAATGACAAGATAGTTCAGTGACTATGAGCCACAAAAGTCATCTGATTTGATTGGCTTAATGATTGTTCAGTAAGTAACAAGCACAATAATTAGAAGGATTGATAACCAGAACACTGGTGTCATTTATAACATTTGAAAAATAATATATTAATATTATTAATTAAGAATTAAAATATAATAATGAGGTTACAAACTACCATTCAACTATTGGCGTCTTCTCAAAGCTCTGCATTTATTGTTCATTCGTATATAATAGTATTCTTTCTATTACACACGCACACACGCTCTCTTTGAGAGTGATTGCAGAATAAAAGAAGGTTGAATTATAAATAACTAAGGCAATTTTACACTTAGAGCCTAAAAATAATGTTTACAATGTAATTCTTGGGTGACATTGCTATTAGAATTTCGTCGAGTGCTAGATTGTACACAAGAGAAGGAAAGGATATTATTGAATCTATAAAATTCTTTATAAATCATGGCGTTTGGAAGAAACTAAATCAACTTTTTTGTTCCCTCTTTGACAATAAAAATCACGAAAAAAAGATGCAATTATCTCTTGGTTTTTCGAGAGCGTGGCCAGACGCGGTATGAATACGTAGACAAATGCTGTAACCACTTATCTGTGACAAGCCTGCTGCAGATGTGTCTTCATTCCGTCCAGATTAATATCTTTATATTGCAGCAGCATAGCATTTAAGCATTTGTTGGGACGGAAATGATTTGCGTCAGATATTCTTTAATTGATAAGGAATTTAGATCGAATAGGATATCGGGTTTCTTGCTCTTTCGCATTACTTGTTTTCCTCAAACCCGAGACATAATGCTAAAACCAAAAGCAATACAACAAGTACTAAAACAAGCGACGTCAGGCGGAGTGCGTGCAACATTGTAAGCATTCAAACGACCCTGATGCAATTCTAGAAAACCCCATACCGTTTGCATTGCACACACTTACTTGACTCCGCATTACTCTTTCAGGCTTTTGAATTCCGAAGGCTCTCCAATATCATTTGTGGCAGAAACGGACCGGGAGGCAAGAATATATGCCGCCATTGCGTCGAACGTATGGACAACGTTTGAAAAAGGAACGAAATCCATGACCCAAGACGACGGTGTGAGGTTCTTGGTTGTTGAGTGCGAGGTAGGAAAGAGAAAGAATTTAGAGTAAATACGCGAGAGACACACATAAGAATTGAGTTGGTCTAAAGGGGCAGCAAACACTGTGTGTGCTATTATTTTGTGGAAAAGGAAGCGAAAAAATGAAATTCATGGAAACCTCGTTTTCCCCTCAAATGCATTCTATGTATTTCGTGTAGGAGGGCACTCTTGCATTGACGACAGTATCAAAGATGATGCTATGTCTCGTTGCTAAACCAGAAGTGGGAATCGCAATATTGAAAGCAAAGGTAAAAAAACAGTTCGTGTATTCGATATAATGAGGCTTAACCTAACATTGAATTGTCAATCCTAGTCCGATGCTTTAGTTAGGCATCTGGAAGAACCACTAACAAACGTTATGACAAATGTATCTTGAGCTTTATTCACTTTTAATTATCCAATTCCATATTATTAATAAGGGTCACTGGTCGATATTGTAATTACTATACAGGAAACAGAACTAATAAAGCAGATTATAATGATTTTTATCTCACAAAATCGTCCAAGTCGATTTTTGTTTTGAGAATTACATTAATGAACGTTATTGCTCGATTTCTTCTTTTTGCGTATTCTCCCCTTCCCCCTTTGGACAATTGCTCTAACCACTTTCCAATGCAACAGCAGCCTCGGTATGAACGTGGAACGGTCCCTCCCTTATATATTTAAGCAATCTATCTCTGACTCGAGCCCCGCCTTCCCAGTCCCACCCTTCGTCACTTTCCTCTTGATTTTTCCAGAGTGCTTCGACGACGCTAAACTTCCACTCTTTTCCTTCTTTGCTTTTCTCTGTCGTACGATTCAAGATGAAATCAAGAAAGCCTCTGGAATATGTTGATCGAAAAAAGTCATGACGAGCAAAAGAATGCTTGGAGAGAGCAACAAATATCGAAAAGATTGCAAAACGGACTTCGGACAGTGCCGACGATGAGAGTGAGAGGAATGTTGGGAGTGGTGTTGGGGAAAGTGAGGCGTAGAGAGAAAGCACGGTTGTAGTTATCTGAGGTGATGAACTGGGGAAAAAAAGAAATGGTGTGAAAACGTGTATACCGGAAGCCTACGTGTGAGATGATCGAGGAGCGTTTGATAAATTAGAAAATGGTTTGCTTTATCTACCTGACGTCAAAGAAACATGATAATGATCGTAAGCATGCAAGCTTCACTTCCCCGCTCGAAGCATGGTAGACGTTCAAGAAGTTTTGAAGCGTGTTTGAGGCATCCAAGAGGACAAGTCCCCTCTGTGTGCTACCTATGTTACCAAGGACTATTACCGTTGTTATCTACAACGAAACACAATTATTAGAACGGTATACGAGAATCGGGGAACTGAAATTATATTCGACAAACTACGCAACACAATCGGGAACTATTTACTTTCACTTCCAAGTTGTCACTTTCCAGCAACTGGGCTAGTTTCTTGAGTAATTCGTGAGTCTGCGCAAGCTCTTCAAATTCGACTGCCTATCACGAAATCACCGACATTTGTAAGCCTTTTGTGAACGCGGCTACACTCGCCCGAACCTTGGATTACCTCAACACGTCCAAAAAACTTGATTGCTCCACATTTCAACAGCACGTTCACCACGTCGCTTTCGTCCAACGCCAGCATGTCGATGAGCGATTCTATTATTCGCGTTCGTTTGAGAAACATGTATCCAGTTGGAGTTTCGGCCACCTATACAGCACAATGTATTATTGGGTACAGAAATGTCTGTTGAATTATATATAGAGCCGAGTTACTCAAAAACGACAATGACAAGAAAATTTTTAAACCAAAGAGAGAAATATTTATATATGTATATACCTGAATGAAGGATTCGACAGCATTGAGTCTAAGTAGTATGTCTTTAGAGTGAAAAATGGTTACGATACTGTATAGTGCACCGGACGATTCGCACAGATGAAAGGCTTCGTCTGAAATATTTGCTATTCGCGAGAGTAAATCAATGACACGGAATTTCAACGTGTCATTGCTATAGAAATTGTAAAATCAACATGTTAATAGCTATTGAACCGGTCGACTAGGAAGATTAAATATACAGACTATTACCGTTCTGACAGTTCATTAAGGTGGGCAATTCGTCGAGTATCAAAAATTGCTTGTAATCCATTTGGATTTTCGGCAATCTGTAATAAAATAGATTGATCGTTTCGCGATTTGTGTTTAAAAAACTGTCACCATTCCCAAGCACCAAGAGTGTTCAAATTACCTTTACAACGAAATCTGCAGCCCTTGTCGCTGTCGGTATATCCTCATTGCCAATGACTTCAATGACCGAATCATACAGTGGTGAATTGATCTTTATAGCCAAATCATTACATAAAAATAATCGTCAAAAGACAATTGAGGTCTCCACATCATAAAATTAACTTTGATTTACCAGATCAATTGTGTATTCTTCATTTGTGAGACATTTTTCAATCTGACCGAGAGTAAGAAGGCATATCTTTGGTAATGGACTCGACAGTCCGAGCCGAAAATAATCCTACAAATCAAATCAAATCAAAATCTCTACTCAGTTTAAAGATAGGGGAGAAGACAACTTTTAGAAAAGATCAAAACCAAGCTTCATGTAACCTTTAATTCTGAAGACACAATATCAACATAGGTAACGGCTCGTAGTAACTTTTCCAATACAATTCCTGCCGCGTTTATAACAGATTCACTCGAACTCTCGAGAAAGGTAAAAAAGTTTGGGAGTGGAACTGCCGATAACACTGCTTGAGTCACTTGTGCGCCTTGTGGACCTGAGGAGGGTGAGGGAGGAGGAGGAGGAGGAGGTGGTGGTGGTGGTGGTAAGATTTAAGAGAACGGTCAAGCGTTATCATCAGTACGTTTTGATGACTCAACTCGACGCATCAAAGATTCATTCTAGTATTAACGAACCATCAAGAGCAATGCTTAATACGCCTAAAACTTCAGTAATCTCTTCAGGACTCTTTGTGTTCGATTGCAAAAGTGCGTTTATTAAACCATCAGTCTCGGAGGTTGGTGATGACATTGTTTGTCGGTTTCCACGTAAACCCTATGGGAATGTTATATTTCATTTTGCTGTGTAACATCTATCAGAAGGTGATCGACTGTACTAGGCGATCATTCGATCAAAGGGAAAACCACGCGCGCTTGACAAAGTGCGTTCGTAAAGTTCCTCGCGATGCACGTTGATTATAGATTTACGTCTTATGCAAAAATTATAGGTATTATCAATAATACAATCTAACTAAACGGGAGTTTGATATGGCACTTTAATAGGTTATGGAGGACAGCAGCTAAAAAAACACTTGTTGGTTTTCTTTTGGTCGCGATCAATCTCGAGACCATATTTTAGCAAAAAAAACGCTGAGCTATCGTTTGATATTTATCGGCGGCATGTATAGCCACCACTCATTCTTAAGCTTTATCCAATATACTCGTTAGAATTGATGGATGGATCTTTTATTCTGACATTTCGTGTTATTAACAGAGCCAAGCAATGAAGAATTAATTATAAAACTTGCTCACAAACTTAATACAGTAACAACCATACATGCATGCAAGCATGCGTGAGCATTCGCTGCTCGACTACTGACGGCAATATTATGGAGGCTCAAGTTTCTTTCTGAAAGGTTCTACCGTCAGTCAAAGATCTCGTGTACATACTATGTAATTAGAATGCAGGAATTTCTTTTTTTCTATCCGGGCTTTATCCAACTATTGATTAATATGACAGAGATTTGCATCTCTTGATATCCTTTCAATCACAAAGGTTTCTACACTGTATTGTTCCGACGTATCTGTTTAATCTCGTCCTAGAGTATATAAACGTTTGGCGTACGAAAATTCGATAAATCTCTTGACTAGTTAGAGTTTAATTTGATAAACAGGAATAAACTTGCATTCTCTCGCTGTTCAGCCTGCATATCACCGAGATTTTGATTTGCTTTAGCTAATCGGAGATTTTGTCAATCGCTTGACTATATTGTGGTTAGGGGCACTATGAATATAAATACAAAGATCAGCAATTTTTGAACCCCTGCGACAATTTGTGTTTGGGGACAAAATTTTCATTTTCAGCAAAAACTTAATTATTATATGGCGACAGAAAACCAAGCCGACACGTTAGGTAAAAACCCGACGATCTTTGACCAATTTTCTTAATCAGAATAGCCGTTATTAATCAATTCAACACGTGGTCTCGTTTTCTCTCCTTGCCCCTCCGTTGTCTCTCTCCCTCCATTACCCAGATCCCTTCCCTGCTCTTGACACTTCAAGCACTCTCTTTGGTACTCTGCAGACAACCAAAGTTTACAATCCTCTCGGATCAGCTTCGGCTCCACTTTCCACGTCTCCCTTCGCCGCCTTTCAGATATCTCCAACAGATATACTAGATACGATAACAGAAAGAAAACCATGTCCTACGTGTAACAGATTCGTCAAGTATTTCTGCCATGATTGCTTTGTCGTGGATAAAGCATGTGAGAACGTGATGCCCAAGTTGGAATTGCCTATTGACATTGATGTGTAAGTTTTTCGTTGGGAGAGGGCAAGAGAATTTAATGTGACAGCCCGAATAATGAGACAGGCCGAGGTGAGACTTGGCACGATTCTTTTTTGGTTTACGCTCATAATTCACATTCTTAACTTTCTATTCCAACCCGCCCCCCTCCCACTCGCGCGTCCCCATCCTCTCTTCCCTTTTGATTTCTGATCTGTTTATTAGTATAAAACATCCGGGTGAACGTTCAGGAAAATCGACAGCAATCCACGCGCGTTTAATCTCTCCAACTTCCGTCTCCGTCTATCCCAGTACCTCGATTCCCGCGTACTCTGATCCATCTCGCATACTGCTTTTGTATCCTGCACCCGATGCCCAAACACTCGATACAATACCTCTCGACTCTTTTGACAAACTTGTCGTAATAGATGGTACCTGGAAACAAGCCATAAGCATCTTGAAATACACGACAGCCTTGTCTTCTTTTCGCAAGGTCACATTGCATCCGCGCAAGACTATGTTTTGGCGATATCAAAATCGGAGCGAGAATTATCTCGCTACTATAGAAGCTATTTATTATTTTCTTGTTGAATACCGCGAAAAAGATAAAGGCGAATACAATGGCGAGTTTGATAATTTGTTATGGTGGTATAAGTACTTTTATGAACTTATTCAAGGCGTGTATAGGGGCGACCCAGAGGGAAAGCGATTTAATAGTAGGCATAGGAAAGATTATATTACGTACGAGTGAATGAGAGAATAGCGCGTGGGAATATACAAAACTTGTCTGTGAAGAGAGGATCGCAATATTAAGGGATGGTGATGAACACGATGACAAAATGGTTACTGTGTTGAATACGCGGGAACTGCTCAGCCCGAAGACTTTTTGGTTTTCGGATAAAATATTAATTGTTGATATTAATGTAGTTGATTATATAATAAAGTGGATTATTAACGTGTTTATCTTTCTGGGGTGCTACTATTCAGTCTTGAGGACCGCTATGACTTTGGAATGCCCAGGAACATTGTATTTCACGTTAAAGCCGGGCATGTAAAAATATGGGTGATAGACGGCTTCACCGATTGACCTCTACACGCGTACAAAACTTTGGTGAACCATATTTTTGATCAAAAAACATCATTAAGATTTAATGTACAAAATAATAATAGTTTTATGTATCGGGTCTTTTATACAGCACACTACGTACGAAAGACTTTTAGCTCAGCATTGATTTCCAAACATGTTTAAGTATTCGATAGTGCGAAAGGAATTGTCTGTTAGACCAACTTCTACGCGTATTTGATTGGCCAATACGAATATTACTTGAGGAGTAATGTAAAACACTAACGCAGATATCGGACTTTTTGGTAAGGGCAATTAAATGAATTTCCTTTTAGTTTTCCTTAATCACGATAAATTTGTCTGCTTACCAATTTTATTTCTCTCCCATAATAGTAAGTTCATCTCAAACCATTACAATCAAACATAAACAATAGAATCCGAGTCAATGGATAAACAGTTACCCAGAACTAATTATTGAATTAGTAGTTATATGCGTGATAGTCTGGCCATACAATAATCCATTTCACTCGATAATCATTTTGGCCTTTGTCAAACTCTTTGTTGAGCATGTATGTCAATTGAGTACTATTGTCCGAGAAACTATTGTCGGGGAAATGAACCAGGTCCATAATTTTCACTATTACTTACAGTATATCAATTTTTAATAAGCATATACATGCTATTATCTGTGTTATGTGAATATGGACAACAACAAACAAAGACCTGTTCACAATTGTAATCGACAATAACATTTTCACAGCAAAATATCCCACATTTATAAGCCATATAAATATTTACTGAATATCAACATATAGCCACATGATCTCATGCAATTCGACTTTTTTATTTCCCTACTGTGATCCTTGAAACGATTTTCTACCGAGTTCAATATTAATATAACAAATAGCTTGGCATTTGACAACACGGAATGTGAAAATCGTTGAATCGAAAAGTGTATGATAATAGATCATTCTTTTCAGATCAGCACTCTCTTGGACGGAATCATCGTGGGAAGTTTGCAGGCTGATAACAAAGTGATGAAGCATGAACATTGTTGAAAGTGAGAGTCTTTCGAGGAAGGGGGGCGGGAGCGAAAAGATTGTTGGAGATTCGGGTAAATATATAGGCTTGTATACGCCCGATTAGGCACGTTAGGTTTTCGATTTCGCTGCGGATTCCGCTATAATAATTTCCAGTGAAGATATTGTGGGGTCATATGTATATACAGAAATAGACCGGGTCCCGCGATTACCGACAACGATGGTTGACCGCAGGCCTTCCGTCCATACAGATCGTAAACAAACATGCAAGCGTACATGATAGAAACGATAACGCCGGCAAACCGATCGAACACAATATACAGTATAAATATATTTTATTCTTTTCACCACCCATTAAATTTTTCGTCTTATTTCGATCTTTTTTTCTTTTGGCAAACAAGCAAATTGATATAAAATTATATAATTGTCCGAATGAAGATCACGGGTGAAAACAAACAAATCTGGCTTTTCGCGTATTCATTATGCATACAAACAATTTTTGAATTGGATAAACATTGTCGGATGCAAAAAAAAAAGGGTTAAAGAATGAGATTAAGCGATAATCGTTCGATTAAATTATGTACTCCATTAAAGTACAAAAATAAACGGTTTATTGAGGTGGGGGGGGATGCGGACGGGCTAATGATTGTAAAAAAAAAAAATGATATCTTCACGTTGCACAGCACAAAAGTCACATGCTGATAAAACCAATGATTGGCCGATAATTTATGCACTGTAATAAATATAACAATATGTTCGACTCGGCACCAACAAATAGCCCATACTATATATATATTTAATGAGCAGTTATTGGCCATTGTAATGCTTGCAATTGAGGAAAGGGGAAGGGGGGTAGGTATGGCAGGCAGGCAAGCAAACACAAGAAACAAAAGATAAAGTACAAGATAGCGGGGGGTAGGTCGTATACCTGCCACAAACGAATGTGGTTTCCATGTTGCGAAACTTTATATGCGATATACCAGGAAAGATATTTATACTTTTTAGTTTTTTTTTTTTCAATCATGGTAATACATAGTTTATAGATCTCGACATGTGATTGTGTTTATTTGTTGGCTGATTATAAGGACTGCCTATTTGGTATCTGCTTGCTTGTTGTTTGGCTTTAACGTTAAATGGATACCGTTTTTGGACAGCTGAATTTTATTTACGTCATTGTTGTAACCTTGTTTTTAAACAAGCGCACAGGACGATGATAGCCCGCTCTGCTCATCAATTAAAATACCCCAATTGCCCATTTGCATATTTCTGGAATTTGTTTAAGTGATCTTCATGTTGTATCACTGTAATAGGAAAGTTTCTTTTCAGTGTACTACAAATTAAACACACGTACGCCAATGGCAACACATTGCAGCAATGAATTTTTAGATGGGCGCTTAACGCGACTAACAAAGATCACACATAATACAGTATATTATTATTATCCCAATTACAATAAATCAATCCATTGGGTCTAGATCCGTTAATTAATTAAATATACATGTATATAGGTATATATGTCCAGTATCGACATGCTGTTATACTATTTGCTTGTATAATATTCAAGTTTATTTTCTTGTCTGATTTGAAATTGCAGCTATGTTATACCATATTGGAGACGGTTAATAACAACAATAAGTAACTTTTTGTTGAAAAAAAAAGGTAATTTATTCTATTTTATTCCACCCTCCCAGCTCGCTCTCCCCCGGCAATCATCCGTTATTAGTTAAGACGCCAATTAACTTAAGACTTTCCCACCCGTTTCATTAATTCGTTTTTTGTTTCTAAAGCGCTTTATGTATTTTTACTTGTTTATACAATATGAATCAAACACTTGTACCACCTCATTTCAACAGTTAAAAAGCGTGATGACATCATATCAATTTCAATTAAGAATAGAGCCGTTTATTTATGCTACTCTCCGTTGTAAAACCTTCGATCTGTACACTTTAGTATAGCTAAATGCTAAGTTTACATGTGCCAGTCAGCGTCTGACAACCCCACAATGGTACGACAAGCATGTCAAAAAGACCAAGTACCAATCTAAACAAAATATACCCAGACCAAATCAATTAATCGTGATATATATAAGCCTGTATCTTTGCATATAAACACCTTTCCAAGAGAATTTGACACCGCGGTTTCACTGCGTGCTACTCGAGCCTCTTCACTAAGTAAAAAAATCCTATCACTAGTAAAATCCTCATCAATCTCCATCCCACCACCATCACCTTTCCTCACACTCCATTACTATTCTCCCCCATTTCATATTCACACACGCTCACAATAAAAACCGGTCAACAGATTGCATCATTTCCACAAACATCACTCCCTTATTGTAAATATCGCAAGAGATGCCTCTTTCAGATACATCTGCCTTGACCACTCCAAGCGCCTCGGAAATCGATACTCCTTCGAGCATAATGGCTCTCTCCACAGAGGAATTCAGTTTACTACTAGCTCTCGGAAATTGTTACGACGGCAATCAAAGCGAGGTCGACTTTGACCGTAAGTCAAAACAGATTTTTTTTTTAAAACATTGCAAACTCGTCTCAGATCTTTGTTATACGCATTACAACCGCGAGATACCAGTCTCTTTAATTGACATTAAAATAATATTATTAGGGAGAAAACCCAACAATTTTGAAATGCCAGTCTAACACAGCATTTTATATTGACTACTCACAGTTATGCAAGCAGCGTCTCCTACCGTCGTTCATGGACCCGCTTCCCCATGTGTCGAAGGCATTTTCACTGACGTAAACAACATTTACGTTGGTCCCAACAACACTGCTGTCTCAACTACCACCACTACCACCACTACCACCACTACCGCCACAGCCACTGAAATCTATCCTGAAATGGAAAACCTCGTCAACGCAGACATGAACAATGTCCTCGATGGTAACCTGAACAGTGATGTTGCGCCAGACATTACGAATTTCGATGTCTACATGAACAATGATCTTCAATTCGCCATGGTCAATGAGAGTGCTTCCAACAATAGTAATTCGAATCCCACTGCTGCTGCCAACACATCATACAACCTCTTGACGAGCTTCCAAGGTCCATTCACCACCACAGAAGGTAGTTTCAATACATTCTCTACTGATTGTCGAGCTGGCATCAACAACTATCCAACCACCTATAACGAAAACTGTGATGCGGGATTTGTCGCAGGCATTAAAAACTACGATCGAAGAGGCAGTAAGGACATTGATATCATTATCAACGGTAGCAATGATATGAGTTTGAATGATAGCAATGCGGCAAATACCGTTGCACGGAGAGCCAATAATGATGACAATAAGAACAGCTACAGGAACAACAAATATGAAAATAATACCATTAATAATAATAATAAGAAGAAAAACGAAAAAGAAAAAGACATGAACGATAGCGGCACAAATTATGGAACAGATGATGGTAGTATTTGTAAAGCCAGGTGTAATGCAAACCAGAAAAACCATAATGATCATGTGGAGCAGGTAAATGACAGAAACGAGCAGACAGGAACCCAAGAAACATTGGTGGTTGATGCACCATCGCCAACTCGGACTTCTCGTAAAAGAAAAGCATCAGAAGAGCTGGAAATAACGCAAGATGAGAAAAGAGCGAAATTTTTGGAAAGAAATAGGCAGGCTGGTACGTACATTTTATGTGTATATACGTGTGTGTGTCTGTGTGTGATTTACTGTGATCGTATTCTTACGATTAGGCCATTATTAAGCTCTCAAATGTAGACAAAAGAAAAAGGAATTTACGACCAATCTAAAGAAACACGTGGAAGATCTTGAATCCGAAAAAACAATACTTACTAATACGGTAAATCACTTGCGTGAACAAGTATTGTATTTGAAATCGCTAATGATCTGTCACGGTGGCTGTGACTGCGGAATAATCCCTGAATACTTACAGTCTTACGGAATTCAGATGCCTGCACCTATACTTGCTCAATCGTCACAACAACAACAGCAGCAGCAACAACAACAACAACAACGACAACAGCCACCGCCGCCGCAATCACAACCACAATGACAACCGCAATGACAACCGCAATCACAACCGCAATCACAACCACAACGATCACCACGGCAACAGCAGCAGCAGCAACAGCAGCATCAACAACAACCACCACCAGCTCGTCATCAATATCCGGCGCCGACAACCTACTTTCTTGCTTAATGGTTTGGCTGCTGCTGTTTGGTTTTCTTACCTTATTTTCATTATGATGGCTTTACTTGCAGTACTCTACGATGTATTTTCCAAATGATGTATAAGCAATACGTTCGCACAGGTGTTCTGTGCTTTTATTTTCCATTTTCACATGTTTTGTATTATTCTTGTATATAACTTTTTTAGCTTCTGTAGTAAACTAGATTTGCCAAGGTATGTAAAAAAAAATTAATATGTATTTCCGGTAATTGAATATAATAAAAATTCATCATAAGGATGAATAATACATTATTAAGCGAATTGTGTGTATTCGGAGAGGTTTTGGGAAGGAATTGATACTCGTCTATCATTATTATAGAATAGATTTCGGGTTGTAGCATGCAAAAGGTCGATCATTCGATCATGGCTTCAATTTAAAGTTCGATCTTTGTACTGTCTACAAATGAGTTTGTGGCACAACCCTGAACAATTCGACTTGCATCATTGAATCGGACATTGATGAGCTTAAAAGTCTAGAATATGCGGAATGATCTAATTCAATCAATTTTGTATACTAGTACGTCACAAGTATCTAAAAAGTCAACGGATTTGTAGTACATACTGTATCTGTATCTGTATCTGTTATATTCCACAGTTCTCGATAGATTTGTATTTCGTTAGAATGAGGCAGGTAACGCGAACAATAGATGGGTGCAGAGTGGTTGGGCATAAGAGAGCTACTGTAAAACAATCGCAGGTATCACGTCCGCAGTCTTCACGGATGTATAGAATGTAGAATGCTTAATTTAGTATAGTTTAATTTTCAAACACTTCTTTACGATTTATGGTAAAAGCACCTTTCCACAAAATGTTTGGCAACTGCAATATGACTTAATAAGTCATCAATGCACTGCAAAATACTGTTGTGCATCGCTGACTGTATTTATCGATATAGGCAAATAAGTGGGGTACCGCTATGGGTTGGGATGGTCGTATCGTTCAAAATCATTACGCAATCAAAAGACTGCACGAATGCTTCATGTGCAAGTGTATTGATAGCGGTTGCTTTTTTTTTAAAAAAAAAGATATAAAACGGTTGCTATAGAATGTAATCACTCTTATAAAGCACCAGGAAGAACATAATTTATCATTTGGTTGCTGTCTAAGATTTGATATTGTGTCGCCTGCTATTGAAATGGTTAATCACTCAATGGGTTTTCCATAGATACGTGTCAAAATGTCATGTTGTGAGAACTACAACAATTTTTCCTTCACCATAAAAGCCGCTTCTTTGAATCATGCCAATGAATGTTTTTGCTTGACATACAGCACTCAAGTCATTTTAGCAATTGATCAAAGTTAGAGAACGCGCATTAAAAAAATGTAATCCAAAATTTTTGTGAGGCAATGGATTTTAATTGCGAATACACGATAAGTGAGGGAGGCTATTGACGATGCTTTAATCAATGAGAATGCTGATGAATTCTGAGATTCAGAATTTATCATATTTAAATTTACTGAAGAAACCCCCATGTTTAATACGTTGTTTGCTGATAGTGGCTGCTCAACATTTATATTAAATTGTTTTTCTTAATGTGTCTCTTTTATTCTTCCCAGCCTAACAATATTAGCGATAACTATTCTGACCAATTCATAGTACGTTTTACCTCTTCTATGAAAATTCACCAAATTTCTCGTCTACAAATCCTTTTCCGTCATTATGAAGCCTTCTGTTTACACGGATTATACACTCCAATCTCACATTCCCATTTACGTCATTTCATCTCTCTAATAAATACATGTAAAACACGACTATCCATTACCAATTATATACTCTACGCCATGGTAACCACATGCATTTATCTGTAGAGACAGAATATATTCTCATCGCTTCGGCTGCTGTTAGTGACAACCCCGGAGAATTCGTATCACGAACGGAGTTCGCAATCATGTGAACTTGATTTTAATCAGGTGACCATAGAACGGAAAATTTTGCTTCAGTACGTGGTTAAGCATGGCAAAGAAGATAGAACTTCATGGACTCTTTGCAACTAACAAACCGCGTGGTATGACATGCACGCAAGTCCTAGCATTAATCAACAAAGCTGCTCGCGCTTATGCGGCAGCCACAAAAATAGAAATGATGCGTAGAAAAGCAATCAAATTAGGACACGGAGGAACACTAGATCCAATGGCATCAGGAGTATTGGTCGTGGGAGTGAATAATGGGACAAAAGATTTACAAAGGTTTTTTAAATGTGACAAGGTGAAATTTATAATTAAATGGCATGTTTTAATATTAGGACTTTTGGCAGCTGAGATGTGATCCGAGTGAACTCATTCGATTAATCGATCGATTGATTAAGATAGGTGTATGAAGCCACTGCAATGTTTGGTTTCCAAACTGACACTCTTGATGCTGACGGACAAGTCACAGAGGTGAAACCTGTGTATAATGGGCTACAAGAGAAATTACAAGCTATTTTACCAAAATTTGTCGGGGTCACGAAACAGATTCCACCCAAGTGAGTGTGTTGACGTAGTTAATATTCATGTACAACTTGAATGATTGTCTAATATGTATTTGTCCTCAAGATACTCTGCATTGCGCATGGATGGCACGCGCCTGTACGAATATGCGCGTAAGAATGTTGAACTACCAAGACCAATTGAACCACGCGATGTGCGTATAGATCGCCTAGAGCTGCTCGACTTTACTACACATCATAATTATAAACCGCCAATACAAGATCACGCAGACGCCATGTTAGATACATCAACTGACGCGTCACAATATCCGATATTTAAACTTAGAGTCGAGTGTGGTGGAGGGACTTATATTCGTTCTTTAATTAGAGATATTGCCATGGAGCTCGATACGGCGGCTCATTTGGTAGATTTGGTACGAACACGTCAAGCGGAATTCATACTTGGAGAGAATACAACAGAATTTGAAGATTTGGCTGAATTTGAAAATATTTGTAAAGCAGTTAATAAGCGCGTTGACTGATAAGACAAGATTCTGCTGACTCTAAATTAAGATATTATTGGCTGCACACCACACATCACGAGACGCGGCTAAAAATTTAATCTATAAAGTACACACCCATGGTTGCGTATAGCTCTAGTAATCAAATACAAAAATTGCCCAGGAATCGCTTTTCTCTATGCCAATCTTGTCTGCAAAAAACATACCACTACTTCTCAATAGCCTATCTGTGTATTGACTCTTTAGATTCACACGAGGGAAAGAGAAAATATAGCAAGATACTCTATACTATCTAATAAAGCAGAATTTTACATAAAATTATTCGTTGTAGGTAAAAGTTCTCGCGAAATACATGTATTATTTTACTTTAATTGGGTCTTCTCAATAGATTCTCAATATCGGGATCCAATGTAGTTTCCCAGTTAGAAATTGTAAAGGCACTAGTTAAGGATGCTACTAATTTTCCAAATTTATTGGGTACTCGGCCTGACCGCCAGCCAGCCGCATTTAAGGGTAGCTCTAGGAATCGGAACGGTCAATGATGGAATATTCAATGCTGGATTGTCTGGGCATCGAAAAAAAGAGATAGGAAGAGGTACCAATTAACATTTTTTTAGCTAGAAGTTGAGAATCAGCTGAACTAATTATTTTATATTTCGATATTATTAGAAGAAAGATCTTTCAAAAAAATTTGCCAAGACACTGCGGATATCCACATTACACATTCAATATCAACTGAATCTGTGGAAACCATTGTAATTGATGACTCGGAAAGTGTGAAAGTGAAAGTGATGCGGAGTCAATTGAAGGTGAAGAAGAAATCAGGAGGCTTTCACAGGTATTTTAGCATTCAGTGGTTTTTATTGCTTTATATATATATTTTTTTTTACAATAGCTATTTTCGCTCTCATTCAATTTCTTAGGAAGAGGTTTAACATTCGTAATAAATTACTTGCGATTTGACTTCACAACAAAAAAAAAGTGGAAAAGATTGTGTATAGCATCTATATCTCTCAATCATATTACTGATTTATCAAATAATGAAGTGTTAATACTATCGCTATAAGCCTTCAGACAATAATGGACTTGACTCATTGTCATTTTTGAATACAACCCTTCCGGAATATTCCATTTGTTAATTAAAATAATAACTAATATAGTAAATATGGTACGTCATAGCACGTCATCATACAGCCGTAGATGTCACCAAATCAATCAATCAATCATCATCAGCGCTGATAATTGTATCGAACACAAGCTACGCGTCAACAGTTTAAACTGGGTTTTAGCGAGCACCTTGTTGCGAACAGTTCCGAGCGATAGCTACACATCAGTTTTTAAGCAGCTTGACAATTTACATTATTGTCCAGAATTTTCGAAAAACCTCGCAAGAGAAAGCGATCCGAAAAAAATGATGATGAGCAAGTGCAGGCAAGCTTTTTCAACCTGTTTAACCGCTGCAGATATGCTGAAACTCCTGTTATTTCAGGTGGAGTTGGAGTAACAATATACAGGCAGACTCATTTAAGGTTGCTAAAAGCTCATGTGTTACAATCAAACACATCAGTTTCTTACCGCACTGTTTGTACTTCTACTTACGGCGGTAGACTTTATTATTATCCATCCCCTGTGTTGACAACCTCTCAGCTGGATAAACATTTTGGATGGAGCTAACAAGTTTGAACTAGTCGATCTCCACTCTGCAATCTGTTGCTATTATCATATTGTTTATACCAAAACTTAATAGCAACTTATCAATGTAATGATAAGTCAGCCACATTTTTTGTCTTAAGAAAAAGACAAGATCTTGAGAAATAGATGACAAGAGAAACATCATGATGGATACTCTACACTATCATCATGTAGTCCACCGATATTAATATAGCAACACCGTCATTATTAATATTATATCACTTGTTGTTACTGTACGTACCAAATAGAATAAGCTTCATAATAACCGCACAATCTTAAATCAATAAAAATAGAAGATGAAAAAATAAGCCATGTCAACTTTTCCACGATTATAAGTTATAGATCTGATGGTTCGATGGAAGGAGAGATCTTATATCCCAATTTTTTGTCGCTTATAATTGTACGATGTTCTCTTTAGTCCAAAAATCTTGTCACTAGTAAACAACACGAATAGAGCTAAAAGAGTGGTTCGACAATAGCAGAGCAGTATCTTTAGCAGTATTTTCAGTTCATTCCTTGCTTATACTTAGGATAGTCCTTTATATTCGAATAAAAACCGTGTTAAAGATAAAAAGTATGTTTTATTCATAATTAATATGCCATAATTGTGGTGTAATTAATAAACTATTGAGAAACGAAAACGGCCGACTGCGATTTCTGTGATTATACTTGCCATTAATCGTGATCAGGATTATTATTTAATTTTTTTGTGCATAGTTAGTTTATATTTCCCGACCGATAGGATTTTAGTCTAATCCCACTAGAGGAATAGACGTAATACTCGAGATTAAATAATATTCTAGGAGAATCGTATACAAGACCGATATTTGATCGTATAAATCGTAGTTAAACGTCACTAAATTGTCATAAAGCCTTTAATTTGAAATTAAATGATGAAAGGTTTTGTGTATATTGGCTCGACAACACCATAGTAATTGATGGTATTAGTATACAGTGTGTTACAAAATTATTTATATCGAACATAAACATGTCTAGCACATTATTTATGCAATTTATAACTCTGGAATACAAAACAAAGGTTTTGTCTTTACTTATTTAGCAGTACCTATACCATCATTACAACAACTTTTGAGATAAGTGCATGTATATGCTAGAAAAAGCACAATGTCTTATGTCTGACTCTATTACAACTGTGAAACAGTAGCATTTGGAATGCCAAACAAATTCAGGCCCATCATCTGTGATAACATCAAAGCTGGAGAAGTACTGTAATAATTTCACGCATACTAGCTAGATTATAGATTCCAAAAGTTTACCTATGCAATAATGCTAGAATAGCCTATCTAATAGTCTACGCCTGAATTCATAAAAAATGTGTGGGCAATCGTAAAAGCCAAACATAGACAAGGGAATGCCCCAAAAATTAAGGAGAAATAACAGTACATTTCAAACAATATTGTAATTAATTTGATAAACTCAATGCCTAGACGTCATCAGCATGTAATTAAAATTTTTTTAATTGCCACACCAATTTAACAGTTGTTTTCCCTGAAAACACTTTATTATTTAATTGTTACTTTATTATTAACAAATTTGTGAAGTTTAACTCTTGAACAAGCTATTTTTAATTATTTTGAGCAATGCAACATTTTTTTTTTGACACTGGATAATCTTGTGATAGTAACATACTGTAGATTAATATTAACACGTGTACCTGTATAAAAATATACTAATTACAATACCTTCTACTTCTCTATATTTAATACTTTAGAATGGTCATGTCAAAGAACTCAAAACAAACTTGTAAATTGTTAATAATTGTAATGTACGTATTAGTATAGACAATTTATTATTATTATGTCATCATTGTAACTTGCAAAACTCTGTCAATTGCGTTTTTTATCACATCACGTTCAAATAATACAACATTGATTATGTATACAGGTATCTACTATTACAATGAAATGAAATGTTTGCTGAAGATAATCAGTTTATGGTACAGTTATTGCTGAAAAAACTGATGAAGATGTGTTAATATTATCACATTGTATCAAAAAAGGTGTCATAGTCAGCTTGCAACACAGTGGCTTCACTTATCACTATCAGTTACTTTGTGACAAGCAACATAAGAAGGTTAATACTGATAGTGTTAAGTAAGAGAGAGTGATGTTTATGACAGGCACATAGAAAGGCGAACTATTATGACAGTAATAATAAAAAATCAACACTCATGACCTGAAGCATAGAAGTCATACAAGTCATACTGCTTGGTCCATATATCAGTAGTAATAAGTAAATACATGCTCTTGGTAGTGATTAGGATTATAAATGGTCAGCATTTTATTAGTTCAATTTATTAATATTATGATTAGTTTGTGTCTATTTATATTATTAATAATGGATGAAATTAAAAAAATGCTGACTAATGTAATAATGATGCCTTCACTTCCACAATGTCCAGATTAGTCTGTTACTAAAAATTAAGACAATGAATTGACTACAATTTGATATAAAAATTAATCTTGCAATTTACCTATAATGTTTACCTATTTTCAATATATTAATATTATATTGTTATTTATTCCTACTATGTAAGATTAAAATGCTTTTCCTATTCCAATTCCATCCTCATGCAATATTAAATAAAGCACTGGCTTCTCCTTGTTCAGATGCTTTTTGATACAACTCAGCTGCTTTTAGTTGATCTTTTTCTACACCAATTCCATTCATGTAGCATAAAGCAAGACTACACTGTGCACTGGCATGCCCTTGTTCAGCTGCTTTTTGATATAACTCAACTGCTTTTAATTCATCTCTTTGTACTCCAGTTCCATTCATGTAGCATAAAGCAAGACTACATTGTGCACTGACATGCCCTTGTTTAGATGCTTTTTGATATAACCCAACTGCTTTTAGTTCATCTTTTTCTATGCCAATTCCATTTTCATAGCAGTAACCAAGATTATATTGTGCACTGGCATATCCTTGTTTAGCTGCTTTTTGATATAACCCAACTGCTTTTAGTTCATTTTTTTCTATGCCAATTCCATTTTCATAACAGTAACCAAGGTTATATTGTGCATTGGCATGTCCTTGTTCTGCAGCTTTTTGATATAACTCAATTGCTTTTAGTTCATCTTTTTCCATTCCAATTCCATTCATGTAACATAAAGCAAGATTACACTGTGCACTGGCATGGCCTTGTTCAGATGCTTTTTGGTATAACTGAACCACTTTTAGTTCATCTTTTTCTATGCCAATTCCATTTTCATAACAGTAACCAAGGTTATATTGGGCATTAGCATGTCCTTGTTTAGCAGCTTTTTGATATAATTCAACTGCTTTTAATTCATCTCTTTCCACTCCAGTTCCATTCATATAACATAAAGCAAGATTACACTGTGCACTAGTATGTCCTTGTACTGCAGCTTTTTGGTATAACTCAACTGCTTTATGTTCATCCATTTCTACTCCAATTCCATTCATATAATATAAAGCAAGAACAAATTGTGCACTGATATGTCCTTGTTCAGCAGCTTTTTGATATAGCTCAACTGCTTTTAATTCATCTCTTTCTACACCAAGTTCAATATTATAACAATAGCCAAGGCTATACTGTGCACTAGCATTTCCTTGTTCAGCAGCTTTTTGATATAACTCAACTGCTTTTTGTTCATTTCTTTCTACTCCAAATCCATATTCATAAAATACAGCAAGACTATATTGAGCAGTGGCATCTCCTTGTTCAGCAGCTTTTTTATATAATTCAACCGTTTTTAGTTCATCTTTTTCTACTCCAATTCCATTCATATAACATAAAGCAAGATTACATTGTGCACCAGAGTGTCCTTGTTCAGCAGCTTTTTTACATAATTCAACTGCTTTTTGTTCATCTTTTTCTACTCCAATTCCATCTTCATAACATAAAGCAAGAATATATTGAGCTCTAGCATCACCATGTTCAGCTGCAGTTTGGTATAACTCAATTGCTTTTAACTCATCTCTTTCCATGCCAATTCCATTTTCATAACAGTAGCCAAGGCTACATTGTGCACTAGCGTATCCTTGTTTAGCTGCTTTTTTATATAACCCAACTGCTTTTAGCTCATCTCTTTCCACACCAGTACCATTTATATAACATATGGCAAGATTATATTGAGCAGTGGCATCTTCCTGTTCAGCAGCTTTTTGATACAACTCTGCAGCTTTTAGTTCATCTCTTTCTACTCCAATTCCATTCATATAACATAAAGCAAGATTACACTGTGCACTGACATGTCCTTGTTCAGATGCTTTTTGGTATAACTCAACTGCCTTTAGTTTGTCTGTTTCTACTCTTATTCCATCTTCATAACATAAAGCAAGGTTATATTGAGCAGTGGCATCTCCTTGTTCAGCAGCTTTTTGATATAACTCAACTGCTTTTTGTTCATTTTTTTCTACTACAGCTCCATTACATATATTAACATCAAGGTTATTTACTATGGCATGTCCTTGTTCAGCTGCTTTTTGATTTAGCTCAACTACTTTTAATTCATCTCTTTGTACTTCAGCTCCATCTTCATCACAGTCATACTGTACATTGGTATTAGTATTAATATCTTGTTGCTCAGATGCTTTTTGATATAACTCAACCAATTTCTGTTTGTTACTTTCTACTCCAATTCCAAGTTTATGATATGCAGCCAGCTTAGATTGTGCATTAGTATATCCCTGTTCAGCTGCTTTTTGGAGTAACTCAACGGCTTTCTGTTCATTTCTTTCTAACCCAATTCCATTTTTATAATATACAGCAAGATTATATTGAGCGAGAACATGCCCTTGTTCAGCAGCTTTTTGAGTCAGCTCGGTTGCTTTTAGCTCATTTCTTTCTACACCAATTCCAAGTTTATAACATGCAGCGAGCTTAAATTGAGCATTGGCATATCCCTGTTCAGCAGCATTTTGATATAGCTCAATTGCTTTTCGCTCATTTCTTTCTACTCCAAGTCCAAGTTTATAACATGCGGCTAGCTTAAATTGAGCGGTGGCATATCCCTGTTCAGCTGCTCTTTGATAGAGTTCAATATCGATTGCTTTTAGTTCATAACCAAGGCCATATTGTGCGGTGAGATTTCTCCGTCCAGCTGTTCTTTGGTATAAATCGAGTTGATCACGGTTTGCCATTCTGGTATGACCGAGTATGTACAAGATTATGTCCAGCGCAGGAAACAAGTTATAAAAGTTGACGAGAAGTTTTGTAGAAAACGTTGGACGGTGGGAAAATTGCGGAACCGAAATTGATGGCGTGACAGATCACAAAGTCACACACGGAGATGTAAAAGCGTTCTACGACCATTTAGGTTCTAAGAACGGGTCAAACACCCATTCTGAGATCTTGGAAATGAGATTGACCAATTATGGAATTTGCAAATATGGGATAATCGACAGAAACTATCTTTATTTATACACACATGACTGGCATTTCCGATTATATATTATCGGGAGCATATATTAATAATATTAATATATTCAATAGACGTAAATGTGAGTCTCTTCGCTTGTTTACGCATATGATTAACTTCAGCCCATTAATCAGTCAGAGTTCCAAAGCCGTCAAGATAAAATAATAACAAGTCATACTAATGATACATTGTCGTCGCGATCCCGAGTCTTGAAACAAGTCAACCGACTTCAGCATTTTCAATCCAACTCGATTATATCACTTCATACTAACATTAGTGGATAGCAAATATGAATAATATAATAATAGTACTAATAACAATGGAAAGCTGATTAATGTGTATGATTAGTTGTCGCCCCAAAATAAAAAAAAAAACGATGAGATATATTAGTTGCCACTATTATGCAAACATGTTGTCGTCAAACATCGACGAAACACCTTGGCGCTTGGTTCGAGAATATGAACATGAATTAATATTGACAATATTCTCCGGTGTTTATGTCCTTTCATTTAACCCCGTCAAGATCTACATATCAAACAAACATGTCTATCTATCATTAAGTTCTCATCCAATTGGCGGAATATATTTTGTCCGACTAGGGGCCGGAATAAGCCGGATGAACCAGCTTACGGAAGTTGGATTGCAGATTATGGAGTATCAGACCAAACAGGGAAGAATAATTCAATTTATCAATGCAAGAACATTTGATAAATAGTATCTACTTGCTAAACAAATGAACTTCGTGCTTGGTACGATCTTTGGCCAGTCAATTGGAAAAGCTTTTTTTTACTATAGAGTCGTCATTTGACATTTCATAATTAAAGGTACCTATATGACGTGATACTTTCGTAAAGGCAAAGAATGGGATAGAAAGACATACAGTCGCACCTCTATTTAAGAACCAAGTTGGGACCATAGTGATTTTTTGAAAAAAATGTTCTTATGAAGAGGTGTTCTTTTATAAAGGTTTTTTTTATAAGTTTAATAATAATTGGGTCCTTGATGCAATGTTCTTGTGAAGAGGTTTTTATATGACGTTCTTTTGTAGAGGGTTCTTTTATGGAGGTGCGACTGTATACGGCATTCGCATAAACAATTCGCTTAAACATTCTCCACTGGTAAAGCTGGGGAGGCAAAAATACACACCATAGGTCTCAAACAAACTAGCTCTTTTCGTGGCTCTTCAAAGCAGGAAAGCCATAACCTGCCGTTTTTCAACATCGTTTTCATCATAAAATCTCTCGCGACATTTAAAATATCTGCATGAAATACCTTTCTCCTGTTTGTTTATATCACTCACTGCCTTCAGATTCACAAGACCTTCTACATAACCTATCATTATAATGTCAAAGAGCGTTTTCGTTTATTGGATTTCTTTTCTGTTTGCACAAATCATTATTATGAAAATAGAGTGTAAATTCTACTGTTAGATCATGAATGGTTTGCCACATAAAGTATTACACTTTTATAGTTAATTGCCAAGCTAAAACGAAATAATACCACCAGGCAAATTTCGATTGGCAGTACACACACTGGCGACGTAGATCTTGCTTTTTAGTGTTTGATGCTCAAAAAGTTTGGGAAAAGAACAGTCAGTACTATATTCTTTGGGAAATCATCCAAAGGACCAAGATAATTTGGCTCGATGCATTATAGCCCACTGTAAATATTTACCATTATTATGGTTAACTGCTGGTATGTCTGTCACACAATCTGTTCAAAGTTCACATGAACATGACAGGCGCTTCCCGCTATCTAATCTCTTTTCTCTACCATAATGGCGAACCTCTCTAAATCGTTCAATGCAGTCAACCCACTCGCACTTGCTGCTTTATTGCAGCCGAACCCCAAACTTGACCGTATCGTGAGCTTCCTAAATTCGGTACCAGGCACCGATAAAGTATTAATGGTTGGTTAACCAATTCTGAAAGTTTGACGGGTGCAAGGTGTGCTTTTATAGTATACCGTGTTTCTCAGAAAATAACCAGTGAGCCGCTTTTCAAAATCATTTATTTCTCACATACTTGACTAATATTCTGCTCGTTCTTCAAAGTTTATCCAATATTATTCAAAGATAGTCATATGGTCTCTCCTTCGACTTGGCAAGAAGGAGCTTGCAGAGAGAGTCGCCAACTTTGCTAATCCTGTTGGTGATTTCAGGATACTACTTAGGTATGAGGTCGGGCAACGCACAGGTTGTTTGTCGATAATACCCTGCTCATATATCATTCGTTTTTTCCTCTGTTTTCATCATAGATATTATGGGTTACTACCACTTGTTCAATGGATGATACACATCGAACATAATCCACCACCATCATCAACCTTATTATTTATAAATCGCTTACAGAACCTCACAATGATTCTCTACTATCCATTGGAACATATCTGGTGGCTTGCATACCACAAAGTCATCGACGTCGCAGAATCTAAAATGAACAGAATAGGTATTTGGAGCTGTCGCTTTTGGGCCGCTTACGTCTTTTTGGAATTTTGGGCATTGGCCGAACAATGGAAGTTATTAAAGAAGAGAGAGAGAAGTATTGTCAAGAAAGTAGATGCCCAAGAAGTAGACATTTTGAGGGAACAACAGGCAGTCCGAACGGAAAAGGAACAGATCGTTAGATCTACTTTGATTAACGTCGGTTATCTACCGTTGACCGTAAGTAATGTTGTTAATGCGTCTATCATTATCCTATCCCCAAAGGTTTTTTTGTGCACGTTTCTGTTTTCATATACTTATAAATTATCTCCATTAGATACATTGGTCTCTCGAAAATTCCTCATTCCCCGACGTGGGCGTAGGTTTCTTTGGTACTCTCGCCGCTGTCTACCAGACGATCGGATGTTGGAAATCCACCGCTTAGAATTGAGCGTTGTAATAATATATAATATATTGTGGAGTAAATATTTGAGGCCAAAATAAATGATCTTAGTACAAAGTAATACAGTGTTTCGAAGCAATCGGTAAACAGGTAGAATCTACTAGCATCTTACTCTGGTTCATGTTGAAGTGGGGATCTTCACATTTGATTTGTTGGGCTGACCAGACTCGTTCGAAACACACCACCAAAAGCAAATCGTGTAGAATTAATTCCATCGTGTAAACTTGGATCGTTTATGAAATTTTCTTTGGTGGCAAAAGTTGTTATTCTATCCCTACTTTGGCATCTGGTGGTTTATTTCTATCTCTTACTGAGTAACCTTTTCTTCTGTTATTCTAAGGATCCGGAATGCCTTTTGCCATCGATGTGGTTGCCTGTGTAAATAGAGGCTTTCACTACATAGTAGACATTGGCAATGTTTGCTGATTGCCACTTGCTATGATGAATAACACAAAGTTGCACGGAATCTCTATTCCGTTAGTGTTCTAAATATAAAAAGAAACGAAAACGTGATGATGTCTATAATACGGTCTACCAATGGAGATAATACGTCAACACGTGCCAGCATGATTCAGTCAACGACGAACGCGGCGCGGGTTAATGACGAATGAACTTTGTACTATGTAATTGTTACCAAACACGTGTACAAACATTCCGAATTTGGTAGAAGAATTTAGAAGTTGGTTTATTTACTAAATAACGGTAAAGCGGGCAACAATAATAACAATAATAACAACAATTAGCTACAACACAACAGCGCGCGTTGAACACGCGACGTGTCCTGCTGATTTATAAACTCTTCCTTCGTCGGAATCCTTTCTTTTGCTCGAAACCAAAATGTCGCTTGATGAACAAATGACATCCGCCACGTCAGTAATTCGCAACCACATCGTTAAACATAATGAAAAGAACAGTGATGATAAGATCGACCGTATAACGATAGAAGCTGAAAGGATTTCTATTTTCTACGTTAAAACCGAATGCGAAACTCAGAACTCCGATGCTTATCAATCCCCAAATAATAACGAAGCCCTTCTCAGACTACATAAATTGTACGACGATATGAATAGTAAAGTCGAACAGATGCAAAGCAGAGTGTGCGGAAAAGAAGAAGCAGCAACAGATCTTTATGAAAATATTGAATTGAGTAGCTTTTGGTTACCGGCGCAAAGCAAAACTCAGGTGGATGCCGTGAATCATATCGTACAGTATACCAAGGAGATGGTGAAAGCAATGAAAGAACAATCACACAAGCTGACACATCCGAATTTTGCGGACAGGGATTGGAGGAATCGTGTATATGATTTATTTGAACGATGCAAACAAGGAGACCCAGAAAATTATTTCTACATAAATATTTTCAGATTTAAAGCAGGTTATTGTGTAATACGCGACGAAGGTAATAATCAACGATGGGCTAAACATCTCTTCCACTTTCAGAAAGCCTGTCGTATTTATTATGAATTGGTCAGGCATGTCGTCGCTGTTATGTCCGGGAATTACAAAGGTGGGCGAATTAACGCGGAATGGGAACAACAAATAAAACGGGCTATATTCGATATCGAGATAGACCACGTTTATTTTAAAAAGTTGGATAGTAGGAATTGGCCTGTTTTGAAACTCAGAATCAAGAATTACTGTGACAGAACGAGGCTTTCTCGTTGTGAGGAAAGCGAGGATAGTGATGATTCTAGTACCGAAGAAGAAGAGGAGCAATCTGTGACGCTTGTTCCGGAAAAACCTGCAAAATTAAAATTTTAACAACTGTTCTCTCCATCATCACCATATTATTCCCGTCTTTCTTCTCGTTCCTCTACAACTTTCTCTCCATTAATTTGTAATCCAAATAATAGTAAAGAACTTAATAAACTTGCATTTCTTACCAAACTACTAGCTTCTGTTGTTAACTTATCCTAGTGTGGCGTAGAAGACAATGCCATCTCAATCGATCATTCGAAACCAAGTCTATACATTCTACGAGTTGCAATCGACTTATAAACAGAACACACTGTACGGCACTCATTCCCTCGATATCTATTTCTGTTTCCTCCATGAGGTTTGATAGTTACAAGTCTTGTTGTGATAAAATTCCTCGCGAAAGATACGCTTATATCAATGATAGGGATGCTGCCCTCCAGAAAATTTCTCAGGAATATACTGCATGCTTGTCTTCGTTGTAAGTGAAAATATACGGTAAGCATCAGATTGCCACTTTTGTAGTGTCATGAAAGGGCTCTTCCGCTCATTTGGTTCGAGTCGTGCTATTCAGATTAACAAATTCCAAGAGCAAAAATGGGGGTTATAAAGGTTGTAATGTTAAACTGTTCTCGGAAACAATATTATTCTGCGGCACTTGTTCTTACAAGTCCAGACGTTTAACTATTTTAGCACTGTTTATTGAAACCGCAGCAAGGGCTCAGGAGTCCAGCAATTACTAAGCACTTGAGGCAAATGGGGGAGGGTTAGAGGCAAGAAAAGGGTATACACAGTGCATTCCATCATGGTGCCGCGCAGCAGGGTTTGCCAAAGAGTCCCCATTTGATACAATCAATTTGTCAACATCAATCCAACTCGACTTGCAGCAAAGCTGTCCTTTATATAGTTCTCGGATACCCTAACCCTATTAACCGTTTATGGTAGACTAAAACCCCAAATTTTCAGCCCCCTATTGAAATTTATTCATGCACAGCAGGTTCATAAACACTATCCAGAAACCCAATAAATTGCATATCTCACTCTCACTTTCTCCAACACCTTCTTGTTGGAGATTCCTTTCGCACAAGCACTTAAAGTTCCTTAGTCTGTCCTTATTATAGAATATAGACTTCACTAAACAAAGTTTCAGGAGATCTGACAGCTAAAATGAACGGGTATCAGTTTGCTCACTCGTCAGCGCCGATTAAGCGTGTTAAATATGTCCAATTCGGCATACTGTCACCAGATGAGATTGTATGCTTCGTTCCTTTATTTACGATTGAGACCATACTCGTAGCTGCAACATATGACTGGTTGTAAGAGACGTCCGTACGTTGACAGCTGGTCCTTGTGTCGACGGTAAAAGTCTATGGATTCCACTTTGGGAATATAATAAGCAAGTTTGTGGAGATATGCTATCGAGAACGATCCCTTCTGGTGCAGTTAACGGACCAGCTGTATGCGTCGGACGTCTATTACGACCTTTACCTTTATGGATAGGAAAAAAAAATTTTTCTCTTGTTTTTTTTTTAATTGCATATTTCTCATCGCACTGCATTGCACTTTTGATTACAGAAATCTATGTCTGTTGCAATCATCGAACATCCAGAAACCATGGATGAAACTGGACACAAACCAAAAACTGGTGGTTTACTAGATCCGCGAATGGGAACAATCGATCGTAATTTCAAATGTATGACATGTAATGAAGGCATGGCGGAGTGTCCTGGTCATTTTGGTCACATAGAACTGGCAAAGCCAGTATTTCATATTGGTAAGGTGTCGCGACCCCTTTCCAGTAAGTGATGCTTTTAAATCATGTTAAACGGCTTTTCTTAAACTCTCTCCAAATAGGATTTCTTCCCAAAGTAAAGAAGATTCTCGAGTGCATATGCGTCGGCTGTTCTAAGCTCAAGACAGATGACGTGAGTTGCCTTCATTTGCATGACATACTTTCAAAGTATATGCAATCATATCTCAATTATTTTTTTTGTATTCTCCCACCCGATCCTCGCATTCCTTTAACAATAAAAAAATCGAATAAAAAAAATCAAAATATTAAATTTGAAAACCTATTACAAAAAAAAACAACAAAACAAAACAAAACGAAAAAAACAAACGATCTTTCACTGTTGCGTGTTTCCCTCGATGCTCTTTAACATAATTGAATTGATGTAATTTTTCATGATTGTTATTGTGACAGTCGAATCCAAAATTTGTTCAAGCTCGCAAGATTCGCGATGCGAAAAGACGTCTTCGGGCGGTATGGGATATATGTAAATCGAAGATGACTTGTGAGATCGGTGAAGAGCAAACTAATAATGAAGGTGACGACAAGGAGCTCGGAGAATTTGCTAGCCTCATGCCTCAGCAAAAGAACGTTGAGACGACAGATGAAGTCCTGGGATTGAAAAAAAAGAAACCGCATGGTGGATGTGGTGCACGTCAACCTATTATTCGAAAGGATGGATTGAGGCTATTTGCTAACTATAAACCAAAGGACGATGTATGTGTTTAACTAATTGTGTATTTGTTTTACTGCATTTTATTATGCTTTTTAACGCGCGTATTAATTAATATGGTATATATAGGGAGAACAAGGACAAGATACACGACAGCCTTTAACACCTGCGCATGTCTATGAGATTTTCAAGAAAATTAGGCCGCAAGATCTCGAGGCCATGGGCCTGAATGCTGAGTATGCACGTCCAGATTGGATGATAATCACTGTACTGCCTGTGCCCCCTCCACCCGTACGTCCAAGTATACAAATGGATGGTGCTGGCCGTGGAGAAGATGATTTGACACATAAATTAGCTGACATATTAAAAGCGAACCAGAATGTAAGGCGCTGCGAATCTGAAGGACAACCAGCACATGTCATAAGCGAATTTGAAACATTGCTACAGGTCAGTAATGTTATGATGCTGTAGTACATGTTGTTGCGCTTATTGTGATGGCAATAACGAAATTGTATGCGACGGCGATGTTGTCGTTTCGTTTTTGTCTCATAATATATTTTCTTGATGACTGTGAATGATTAAACCCGTAACTTGTGTATCTATAGTTCCATTGTGCAACTTATATGGATAACGAGATGGCCGGTCAACCTCAAGCTTTGCAGAAATCAGGTAGACCACTCAAATCGATTCGCGCGCGATTAAAAGGCAAAGAAGGTCGTCTTCGAGGAAATCTGATGGGTAAACGTGTTGATTTCTCGGCACGTACTGTTATCACGGGTGATCCCAATATTTCCGTTGACGAAGTTGGCGTGCCACGCAGTATAGCTCGTAACTTGACATATCCTGAGCTCGTCACTCGACTCAATATCGATCACTTACAAGAGCTTGTAAGAAACGGTCCATCAGAACACCCAGGTGCTAAATATGTCATTAGAGACACAGGGGAACGTATTGATTTAAAGCATTACAAGCGCGCGGGTGAAGTGCGTTTGCAAATTGGATGGAAAGTAGAGCGTCATATTGATGATGGCGACATTGTAATATTCAATCGACAACCTTCATTACACAAAATGTCAATGATGGGTCATAGAGTAAGAGTAATGCCATACTCTACTTTCCGGCTCAACTTGTCGGTCACCACACCTTATAATGCTGATTTTGATGGGGATGAGATGAATATGCATATACCACAATCTGTAGAAACAAAGGCCGAGATCATGGAGATATGTATGGTACCAAAACAGATTGTTTCTCCGCAGTCAAATAAACCCGTTATGGGTATTGTTCAGGACACTTTATGTGCGATCCGCAAGTTTACGAAAAGAGACTGCTTCCTAACTAGAGATTTAGTAATGAACATTCTCATGTGGGTTCCCGATTGGGATGGACACATTCCAATACCTTGCATCTTGAAGCCAGTACCGATGTGGACTGGTAAACAAATTTTGTCTATAATCATACCGAAAGGCGTTAATTCAGATAATCTCAGACATTCAACGCATCCTGATAATGAGACATCTGATATTTCACCTGGTGATACAAAAGTATTAATTGAAGATGGGGAGTTATTGAGCGGTATCGTCTGTAAGAAGACGGTCGGCACATCGCAACAAGGTTTAATACACGTAATTATGCAAGAATTGGGACCAGAGGCGGCCAAGAACTTCTTAAATGGATGTCAAGGAGTTGTTAACTATTGGTTGCTACAGAACGGTTTCAGTATTGGAATTGGCGATACTATTGCTGATAAAGATACTATCGAGTCAATTGCGCAAACAATTAGTAACGCCAAATCACGTGTGCAGGAAATAATCATACAGGCACAGCAAGACAAACTGGAACCGCAACCGGGTATGACTATTCGAAAGACTTTTGAAAACAAGGTCAACAAGGAACTTAACACAGCTCGTGATGCTGCTGGTCGTAGTGCCGAGAAAAGTTTAGGAGAGTATAACAACGTCAAACAGATGGTAATTTCCGGTTCAAAGGGTTCTTTTATCAATATCTCCCAGATGTCGGCTTGTGTGGGTCAACAAAACGTAGAGGGCAAGCGTATTCCATTTGGCTTTAAGTATAGGACATTACCTCACTTTACAAAAGACGATCACAGTCCGGAAAGCAGAGGCTTTGTCGAGAATTCTTATTTGCGTGGACTTACGCCGACAGAGTTCTTTTTCCATGCTATGGGTGGTCGTGAAGGTAATTTACGATAATGATGTTTCTTTACTAGTATTCTTACAATTATTAACTCATAATTATACAGGATTAATTGACACGGCTGTTAAAACTGCCGAGACTGGATATATTCAGCGTCGTCTGGTGAAAGCGTTAGAGGACGTAATGGTTAAATATGATGGAACAGTACGTAACTCTTTGGGCGATGTGATTCAATTTTGTTATGGTGAAGATGGAACGGACGGGTGTTACGTAGAATCACAGACACTTGATTCCCTCCGACTAAGTGATGCTGATTTTGAGAAGAAATATTATATCGATTTAAGAAAAGATCCGGATTTGAATCCATCTCTCGTGGATCCTCGTGTCTGGGATCGGATCAGTGACGATGGCTCGGACAAGTACCAGCAACATTTAGATCAAGAGTATAGCAAGTTACTAGAAGATCGAAAGATATTACGTGAATTTATCTTTCCGAATGGTGATAACAAGTGGCCATTGCCCGTTAATATTAAACGTCTCATTAAGAATTCACAACAAACATTCAAAAGTCATTTACGCGGCGGTAGTGATATCGATCCAATTGAAGCAATAACAGATCTCAATAAACTTAGCGAACGCCTAAAAGTTGTCAATGGTGAAGATAAGATTAGCATTGAAGCACAGCGTAACTCGACACTATTGTTCCAAATATTGCTCAGATCAACACTGGCCACCCGACGACTTATAGAAGAGTATCATCTCGACACTCAGGCATTTAAATGGATTCTGGGCGAAATTGAAGAGAGATTTCAACGTTCGCTTGTTGCTCCTGGTGAAATGGTTGGTACAGTTGCAGCACAATCAATTGGTGAGCCAGCAACACAGATGACTCTGAACACTTTCCATTATGCCGGTGTATCCAGTAAGAACGTAACGCTCGGTGTACCCCGTCTGAAAGAAATTATTAATGTAGCAAAGAATATCAAGACGCCCTCAGTACATATTTATTTGGTTCCAGAATATGCTAAAGACATGGGTTGTGCGAAAGAAATACAGAGTGCTATCGAATATACGACACTGAAAACCGTTACACAACGTACTGAGATTTGGTATGATCCGGATCCGAAAACCACTATAATAGAGGAAGACAAAGAATTCGTTGACCTTTACTATGAGATGGAGACTGAGACGCAGGGTGGTGAAGAAGGCCAACTTGCAACAGCACTTTCACCTTGGTTGTTGAGATTCGAATTGGACCATAGTGTGATGCTTGATAAGAAATTGCCTATGGATGTTGTAGGCAACAAAATTCAAGAAAACTATAAGCGTGACGTACACGCCATTTGGAACGATGATAACGCGGAGAAAAAAGTCATTCGGTGCCGTATTATAAGTGAATCGGGAACTGTCAAGGAAGTCGCTGATGAAGAGGGCGGAAGCATCATTGAAGAAGACGTATTTCTTAAACGCCTTGAGAGTAACATGTTATCTTCAATCGGTCTTCGCGGTATCAAAGGGATTGTTCGCGTATATCTGATGGAGAATAAAAACAGCCGAGTGTATATAAATGAAACAGGGAATATTTGCAGGGATGATGAGTGGACATTAGAAACTGATGGAACGAATTTAGCGGAAGTTTTGTGTGTGGATCATGTTGACCATAAGCGTACATGTTCAAATAATTGTGTTGAAATTATGACCGTCTTGGGTATCGAAGCCACTCGTGCTGCACTTCTTAAAGAGCTTCGAAGCGTTATCGAGTTCGATGGTTCATATGTTAATTATCGCCATTTGGCTCTTCTTTGCGATGTAATGACTTCTCGAGGTCATCTGATGGCAATTACACGTCACGGAATTAATCGTGCAGAGACGGGTGCGCTAATGCGATGCTCATTTGAAGAGACTGTCGAAATTTTGATGGAGGCAGCTGCCGTTGGTGAAGTTGACGATTGTAAAGGAGTAGCAGAGAACATTATGTTAGGACAGGTTGCGCCTCTGGGTACTGGTGAATTTGATGTTTATCTTGACGAAGAGATGTTGAAAACGACAGCCATCCAGCAGCCTATGCAGAGTGCTACAGAACAGACTACTGCATCGGACATGGAATATCGACGTGCAATGGGTGCTATGACACCTGGTCATATGACTCCCGGTAGGATGACTTATTCTGGAGCACAAACACCAATGTTTGCAGAAACGCCAAGCTATGGAGCCAGGTCACCAGGTTTATATGGCGATTTTTCGCAACCGTTGCTGCCAGGGACTCCATTGTTCTCTCCGCAGCGTGAGGGCGGCTCGGCAAGTCCCGTTATGGTTGGCGGCAGTATGTCAATCAACGGATGGTCCGGGGCTGTCAGTCCATATGGAAGCAGCGGTACGCCGGTATACGGTCATCCAACATCACCAGGATATTCTCCAACATCACCAACAGCGTATGCTCATTCACCTGCTGGATTATCACCGGCAAGTCCGGCATACAGTCCAACAAGTCCGAGTTATTCACCAACCAGCCCATCACAATCATACGGTGCTGGTATATCCGGACTCGGTTTAGGGGCCAATGGCGTTGGAACGCATTCGACGCCATCTTATTCAGTATCTAGCCCATCATATTCACCCACAAGTCCATCATACTCTCCTACATCTCCCAGTTATTCACCCACAAGTCCATCATACTCCCCGACATCTCCCAGTTATTCACCGACATCTCCGAGCTATTCACCCACAAGTCCATCGTATTCGCCGACCTCACCCAGCTATTCTCCAACTAGTCCATCTTATTCACCAACATCTCCTAGCTACTCGCCGACTAGTCCTTCTTACTCACCAACTAGTCCAGCTTACTCGCCTACGTCTCCTCAATATTCTCCGACTTCACCATCGTATTCGTAAGTAACTTTTATATTGCACTGTCGAAACATTAATATTTTCTGTTTTTGCTAACCTTCCGATGTGTTTCTATAGGCCTACTTCACCCTTATATACACCCACAGCTGCATCAGCTTTCAGCCCATCGTCTCCGGCTGCGATGTCTCCATCGTTTACTCCAAAATCTCCTAGTTATAGGTAAGCAAATGACTGAAGTTTATAGTATAATGTCTTTTGCTGTTACTAATATAGTCTTTGGTTTCTATTCCAGTCCCACATCACCTTCCTATTCACCTCGATGAATAATCAATCGATAAATTGACAATAAAGTAGTTTTTTTAATGGATATCCGTACTAACTTTAGTACACTATGTTCAATACAATCACATTATGCTATAATGTGCTCTAGTTTCGATCATCACTGGTACAAAAAATCAATGATATATTACTAATAAAGTTTCTGCACATACTGGTTTCAAAATACATCACCTTTCTTCTATGCTAAATTTAGTGAGATTATTATTATCTCGTGCCAATAAAAACAATGCAAATTCCTAATTGCCAATTCGCTGTAATAAAATCGACCTATCAGAGCTGCTCTCGTCACCAGAAACCACTTCATCAACTATTTTGTTCGCATTACAGTCAAGGCTTCCTCCGATACAAAAACATTATTATTAAAGTTTTCCTCGGATATAGTCATCAAACAATATTAGTAGATTGCCTCTCGATATAATTTCGATATAGTAAATTTCTCAATATAGTAAAGAAAACCCCCATCCAGTCGACATTACTATAACGAGGTTTGCTGTAGTCCTTCTTTGTCTGCAACTGCATTTCCATCACCAACGAATACCCCTGCCCTGTCGTTGCTTTCGATAACCACTTTTTTAATTTGTTTCCTCTTCCTCTTTTCGCGCCTTTGTGCGCGGCGACCTATAAGGTGCCTTGTGAAATTCTGACGTGATTGTACATTTCTGGTTACTGCAGTTATTTATGTAACTATTCCGAATGTTTTTATTATTTTCATTAACAAGGACGCTCGATATGCGGTACGTGACTTGTATTCATGCGCATTGACAAAAAGCGTTCTACGTTGATGTTTTATTATACTGTAAAACAGTATATTAACAACCGAGGTTAAATCAGATGACGACGAATGATGTGACTTTATTTCTTATACAGCTCTCCACACGTTGCACGAAAGGCAACAATATCAGCTCTTCTTATAACAAGTACCCTAGCTGTACGTTACAAAAACGGGTGGTTGCTATAACAGGCTTGAAGTATTGAGTGATGTATGCTATGCCTTTTAATAATGATGATGCGAATTGTATATACTTTCGGCATTGTTAATGATACCAGAAATATTAGCAAACATCCTAAACCGTGTTCTATTAAAAAATCTCCGAGTAAGCATTTTTCAACTTCTTATTGAAATCTATTTCTTCACTTACTCATTGACCAAAGTGAAGTAAGTTAATATAGAGTGAAACCCTAACTTAATTTGTCAAATACAAAAGCAATACTGTTTACCAATATTAAAGTTCGGTTAATTAAAAAAAAGGGGGGTGATACTTTTTCCGGAACTTTAATATGGAGATGCGAAGCAATCTACAAAAAGTCTCATGCCGTCTTTTCTACTAAATTGATTTTGGCACAATTACTTAAATTTGATATTTCCAGCTTACACTTTGATTATCTTTTTACCCGTAATTATTTTTAAGACAGTAATAGTTGCTCCGATATCAGAGCTTATCTAGCGTGCAGTCGACCAATTTATTGGCTCCAAAACACTGAATGCTAGGAATTCGAAGCATTCTTGCGTTTGCCAAATTTATCGTAATAACACTGGTCAAAGAACGTATTCCTATCGAGCAGTGTTTGCATTCTAATTCGTAATGAATTTTCATACATTTATAACACTATTTAAGGATATCGGTGGGTTTACTTCTGTAATCCGATTTGTACAAATGTTATCCGTTCGGACTCGAATATGAAATGCAAATATTGCTAATAAAAGTGATGAACACATAAAAATTTGTGCTGATACATTACGCTAACGCATCTTCCCAATTTACAAAAAATGCGTAAAGTTAGAGAGAGCTTTCGAACATATTAATATCGATATTAATATTAGATTCCTCTAATTGATTTAATGTGAAACAACAGAAAATAACCGTGGGAATGGCGATACCCTATTATTGTGGATTATTAAAATGTAAAAGGTGACATCTTCCGTGATTATTGCAGCATGCCCGATATGGCAATGATGTCTTGTGTTATGATCTCGAAGCTAAATGCATATTAATATTTTCATTCAAGTTACACAGCATTTGTGTTCGAATTTACAACGCAAGGAGAATGTTTATTATTGGTGAAGAAGGGAGAAACAAGAGTCATTCACAGAAGTACAGTTACAAATATAACAGCATATTAATGTATTAGAAATCATATTCTAGCATATCAATCTAATGAGTCATCTAATCGTTCTCTAAGATCACACGCTTAGCACCGGCCCGACGGCAATCAATTTCCCAACAGTCCGAAAGGTCGTCACCGAGAATCTGTAAGGCGCCATTATGAACATAAACCATACTCCCATCAACTCAAGCACAAAGGCCAGAAAGAATCTCCAGATAATATCCAACCTCTGCTCAATAGACGACTCCTCATGCAAATTTCTGCGTCTTGTCACCGGACGCCCTGCCTTACGCTCAAATGATGGTGATGATGATGGTGATGGTGATGATGTTTGGTTTTTTGCGCTGTTGATAGTTGGTACGCTGTCGGTGGCTATCGATTGAAAGTGATATGTTGGGGTTGGTTTATTTGGTCGAACTGGGAAAGATATCGTAAGATTGCGACTAGAGTTATCACTCGAACGGGATGAGACGGACGATTGCAACGACGAGGAGACGTTGTAAGTAAAAATTGAGGAACCGCGACTTGATTGTGGTAGTTTTCGAGGATGGGTAACTTTCAGTGACATTTTCGTATAGCAGACTATTGACTTAAGAGAGACAGGGGGCGAGTGAGAGCGGGGAAAAGTTGTTTAAATGTGAGCTTATACTTTATCATTCACACGCTATCAACGTCCAACATTCACGTAGTGAGTAAAAGCAGCACGAAATTTTCGATTTTCTCATGAGATACATCAAGATCTATATTTCTAACGAGCAAAAATTAGGATCGCTTACCTCTAGTTAGCTGATAACCTTTTGTTTTGATCTTGTTAACGTTCACCATTCGCACTTGTTATATATATATTACAGTTCAGTCGTAACAGTGGCCTGTTGCATGCATGCAGAAATGGAACACTATGGTCATGTGGATAATGTGTTATGGTGACAAAAATTAATATTAATGTGTTGCGTGCGCCCTGCGATTAACAAGCCAATCGATGTGTTCAACAATAAATAGCTCCGTTATATTTATTTATACAGCAGAGAGATGTTATAATAAGCGTTGTACTGACAAATAAACATGCTAAGATTTTTCCCAGCATTCCGTTAAATGGCTCGACTATAATGCTTCCCACGTTCTCTATTTCAAACATCGTATGTGGCACGATTTAAGCGTTCATAAACCTGGCAAGTTTGCGCCTAAACAGATTCATATTGGCTGCCTGCATTGTGCCAATGTACTATATTTTTGTTCGTGCAAGTTTTTTTCTAATTGGTCGAGACTCTCCATTACATTTGAAAGAATTAAGTGAGAACAAAGACACTGATAACTGCAAGAATCAATGCCATCGAGCGCCACAGAGTTTAGCCAAAAGAATGCATATTTTCTTCGCCAAGTAAATACATCTTGAAGGAAAGAATCGGAGAAACGACGATAGAGAGTACAGGATAAGCCATTATTAAAGGATGAAGAATGTTTTTTCGATTTATTACTTTAGACCAATCGGAGGTCATTGAGCTTAAAAATGTATAATATTGGAAATGCGTATTCATTGACATGACGTTTTCTATGGTTAACCGCCATACATATAGAATTGCGTCGTCGTATGATTTGATTTTTGAATCATCAGACAGGCCACATATAGAAATTGCAAGATTGACATGTGTGATTGAAATCGTTCATTCGACAGAGCCTTACATGTAGTAATCGTATGATTAGAAAGTGTTTGATAATTCATCCGAACAAATACGACTATGTAATGAATTGTCGAAATTTATGTTTGAACTGTTGCCGAATCGTTTGTCTTTTCTTTACCAGCCAGTCTCAGCGTTGTTGGTGCACCGAGTCTTGTTCTGCGTGAATCAACTACTTTTTGTAATCCGTCATGTCTGCTATGTTTGAAGCGTGCGTGATTGGTTTAGATTATAAGACTTTCCTCATTAAACCAGCGATAGGTCCTCTTTAGTAACTCACATGCTTTTCAACTACGTCATAGTCAAGGTATCACCAGTCTTATCTCATTTTGTTTACTAATACCGTGCCGTGTGGCACAAGATCGCCAGGATCAAAAAGAACACTGATTGTCTACACGCTGAATATTTTCAAACAATAAATTATTGTAAAGTAAGTTATTATCACTCAATGAATAACAATCAGCAATATTATGGTTCTGAGGTAGACTCTTCGTCCTCCTCCTCCCAAACTACAACACCGTCGCTGCAACAACAACAATCACAGCACAATTCGCCTTCACAAACGCCTCAAAACCAACAGGAAGCGGAACAACAAGAATCAAACCCGGCGGAAACGTCGGTTAAAGCCGAGCCCGAACAACAGACTAACGAGTCACCTAACAGTAAAGACTCGGAAACAAAAAAAAAGAGAGCTGGACCAAAGAGGCGAAAAGTTACTCATGGTATGTTATGTAATCGTGGATTATGCAACGAGTATTCCGTATGTCTGACAACGTAACCATTCGCTTGTGTAGCTTGTGTTTACTGTCGACGTTCACATATGACCTGCGATGATGGTAAGTGTGCACATTGCGAATAGGAAATACAAAGAAGGATGCTTGCGACCTAATAATGTCTATTTTACTCAATGTAGGGAGACCATGCCAAAGATGTATAAAGCGTAGCATAGGTCATCTATGTCATGACGAGCCAAAGGGCGCGCATGGCGCTCAGATAATGAATCAGCCACCTGCTGTCGTGCCTCAGAACGTTATGAATGCGTTGTCGCATGTTAATTCAGAAGGTATGTATGTCAATTACTCTTTTATTCCATTACATTCTCGGTCCATATCCACCAAATATATGGTCTTTGTTGTTTTCTTTCTAACTCTATCTTCATTGTCCAGTGCTTTGTGCACCTCCGAATATTGCTAATGTATCACTTACTGGTTACAATCCCATACCCTCATATTCACAATTTCCTACGGCTCCATTGACATTTGCAAGTGAACATATGGGCAATGAATTTACAGTAATTACAGATTTTCTAGAAAGTGCAAATGGACATCATACATATCAGCACAATGACGGTACTCCCGTGAACACTACTGAGAAGTTTTTCTTAATAGCCGCTGATCCGTCCGATGGAACATCACAGGACAGATTGATGCAAGTAATAACTGCAAAGTTTGAGGCTGGACTATTGAAACCATACAACTACGTACATGGCTATGCGAGATTACAGAAACATATGGAGTCATAGTGAGTACATTAAAGCAAAATAATTTGATTCTCTCAATGCTAATGCTTTTTATCGACGAAGCGCTGATTCACTCGTCTTTTCAAATAGTATGTCCAGTTTAAGTCGACAAAGAATCGTCAATTCTCTAGGGAAATTTAGACCTCATTTTAGAGCCGTGGCTCAGTCCTTGACTGACATGGATTTGGTGCTCGTTGAGGAAGCATTCGAGAGACTTTTGCTGGTTAGGCATTGCTTATCTTATTTGGGCATACGTACCGTACCGCAATGGACTTACTTTTTATGATCTCTTACAGGATTACGATAGGGTCTTTAGTTCTATGGGAATTCCTGCATGCCTTTGGCGAAGATCAGGAGAGATTTACAAAGGAAATGAGGAATTCGCTAAGCTAATTGGTGTGCCAACTGAAACATTGCGGGAAGGCAGAATGTGTATATATGAAGTAAGAGTTTTTTTTCCCTACGAAATGTTTTTGATGGTCACATGTGAGAATTTACCACATCCTTTCTGATATTATTAATGCGATGTTTGGAAGCTAATGGCTGAAGACTCTGCCGTAAATTACTGGGAAGTATGTATCAAAAAAACATGAGTTCGCGAACACTACAGTGCACTCTTTTTTTGACACCGACTTGACACTTACTTTCATCAAATCGTAAAGAAATATGGGAATATAGCCTTTGATCCTGGACAGAAGGCAGTCTTAACCTCTTGTATACTCCAAAATCCTGATCCGGAAAGTAGAAAGACGATACAATGTTGTTTTTCATTTACTATTAGGCGGGATAAATATAATATGTAAGCATAACTCGCTTTGACATTTCGTGTTGTCCAGTTATTTCAGTGGCGTAACTCTATATTTAACCAATCTACCTTTCGATCTTTCATACTGAAATTCTAATAAATAGTCCGGTAAGTATTTCAAATTTTCAGTGACGCCTTACGATTCGTACAAGTGTATGTTCATAATTTACGATATTCATATTTTCACAGTCTGCTATTGTTGGTAATTTTCTACCTCAGACTTCATGAGGTCAATGATCAAAGTTATCAGAAGGCCATGTACCGTTGCTATCACGGTATTGTAATTATTATAACACATTAATTGCGCTTGCGTTAATATAGCAACAATAATAAGTCGCTTCAATTCTTGCAATGAGTAACTGATACACACAATACTATTGCTATTGATACGCCAGCTCTAATAAACGTAATTTGTAGGTATATATCATAAATCTTCACTTAATTTGACTATTTACCGTGTCGTATACTGGATGATAGACTAGTCAATTGACCTCATACATATATGGTATTCAAAAATGCATGATTCGCCTTTTGCATCATTGAATAATCATTACGTTTATGCACTCATGCGTAAGTGCGTTATACGACGACTGTCTACATATTAATTGATATGAACATCAGCTCTTAAAACCTCTTTCCGTCAAGCGATTGTGTTTCTTAGTCCCTTAACGGTGATCTGGTACCGTGAAATAACAATATCCATGTCCTTATAAGCAATGAATGCCAGGATACGCAGTAGTCAGCCCTGGTTTATTTGTTCCCTCTTATCATTGTGCAGGAATAATAATTAAACTAGAACAAAGTCGGTAGTAGCACGAACCAAGTTTGGTTAAGCAAATGGCATACGGCCGAGAAATTTTTATTGTAATGGCTCCACAGCATTGTCTCTTTTTTTATCAAGATTAGCGGGCAGGTAACAAATATTGGTAAGTACAATCTTTGAATGCGGACTGTTTATCCCTCTCTTCCCCATTTCTTGGATATATAACTAGCACTCATATGTTTATCAAACTATTCGTCCCCGTCTGATCAGTTTGCCTTAATCTGTAGCTAGTTGTTACTTCAACTTCCGCAAGCTGGGTTATTCTGACTCTTACACAACATAACTACAACTGATACTAGCCATTAGCTGAAGATTGTAAAACAGCTTCTAAAGGCATTGTCTCGACAGTCGAATATTAATTGATCTCACTATATTAATATATAGTTCTCATTCTTGCCACCATATTTGTCACACATCTTGATACGCAGGAGAATCTTCCCGTTACACACAAACTTACTTTCAATGCACAGTATTTAATCGACAGGGATTCCCAATTGTGACGATTATCGATAGACGCTTTAATAATAAACAAGCCAACTCTATTCCAAACATTTCACTTACATACAAACTTTGTATATTGGATAAAAAAATTCAATAATCGTTTCAATGCTGAGTAATATTTTCGCCGTATGCGGCACCGGTGCATATATGCCTGGTTGCGCTAGAATAAAAGGACACAAACGCGAGTCATTTCACGGGACAGCTGAAGAAGGATATGCCAGTGAATTATATAGCCTCGGTTACTGTTATCAATACGGAACTGGTGTACAAAGAGATCAAACCAAAGCAGCCGAGTTATATCACAGAGCAGCAGAACGAGGACACGCCAGCGCACAATATAACCTTGCTGCGTGCTATGAAGATGGAATCGGAGTAGAAAAAGATGGGCAAAAGGCGGTTGAGCTATATCAAAAAGCTGCTGAACAAGGATATGCTAGCGCACAATATAATCTTGCCGTATGTTATGCCAATGGAACCGGTATAGAAAAAGATGAGCAAAAAGCGGTTGAGTTTTATCAAAAAGCTGCTGCGCAAGGACATGCCAGCGCGCAATTCAATCTTGCGTTATGCTATAAAGACGGAGCTGGCATAGAAAAAGATCAACAAAAGGCAGTCGAATTATATCGAACGGCTGCTGCCAAGGGACATGTTGGTGCATTATGTAGTCTTGGTTATTGTTATAACACCGGAATTGGCACAGAAAAGAATGAACAAAAAGCGGTTGAGTTTTATCAAAAAGCTGCCGAACAAGGATATTCCAGCGCACAATATAATCTTGCTTTATGTTACAAAGATGGGATTGGGGTGGAAAGTAATGAACAAAAAGCAGTTGAATTGTATCTAAAAGCTGCTGCACAAGGACATGCCAGTGCGCAATATAATCTTGCCTTATATTATAAAGATGGAAATGGTACGGAAATTAATGAACAAAAAGTGTTTCAGTTATATCAAAAAGCTGCTGAACAAGGACATGCTGGCGCATTATGTAGTCTTGGTTACTGTTACAATATTGGAATCGGCGTTGAAAAAGATGAACAAAAAGCAGTTGAGTTTTATCAAAAAGCTGCTGACCAAGGACATGACAGTGCACAATGTAATCTTGCCCTTTGTTATAAAGATGGAATTGGGATAGAAAAGAATGAACAAAAAGCTGCCGAGTTATATAAAAAAGCTGCTGAACAAGGACATGCCAATGCACAATATAATCTTGCTGTATGTTATGAGGATGGAATTGGCGTGGAAAAGGATGAGCAAAAGGCAGTTGAATTGTATCAAAAAGCTGCTGAACAAGGACATGCTAGTGCACAATATAATCTTGCCTTGTGCTATGAAGATGGATTTGGAGTAGAAAAAGATGAAGAAAAGGCAATCGGGCTGTACCAAAAAGCAGCTGAACAAGGGCATACCAATGCACAATATAACCTTGCTGTGTGTCATGAAGACGGAATTGGAGTGGAAAAAGATGAGCACAAAGCAGTAGAGTTATATGAAAAAGCTGCTGAAAAAGGACATGCCAGTGCTCAATATAATCTCGCTTTATGTTATGAAGATGGAATAGGAGTAGAAATTGATGAACAAAAAGCAGTTGAATTATATCAAAAAGCAGCTGACCAAGGACATGCCAGTGCACAATGTAATCTTGCTTTGTGTTATAGATACGGAATTGGAGTAGGAAGAGATGAACAAAAAACAGTTGAATTAATTCAAAAGGCTGCTAAACAGGGACATGTCAGTGCTCAATATAATCTTGCTGTATGCTATGAAGATGGTATTGGACTAGAGAAAAATGAACAAAAAGCTGTTGAGTTCTATCAAAAAGCTGACAACAGAGATGTTAGTACACCGTTTAATGAGATTGGAGTAGGAATTGATAATCAAGTAGTGGCTGAACAACAACACACCAATGCACAATATAATCTTGCTGCAAGTTATGAACATGGAATTGGAGTGGAAGGAGATGGGCAAGAGTCATATTACAAAACTGCAGAACAAGAAGAAAGTATTGAAGAAGAAGCTGAACATGATGGTGCACAAATTGATGGAATTGGAGCAGAGAGTGATGAACAGAAAGCAGTTGAGTTATATCAAAAAGCAGCTGATCATGGACATATTAATACAAGACGTAATAGTCTTGCTGTATGTTATGAAGATGAAATCGGAGAAAAAAATGAACAAGAGGCAATTGAGTTATACCAGAAAGCAGCTGAAGGAGATGATAGTACACAGTTTGATGGAATTGAAATAGAAAGTGATGAACAAGAAGTGATTGAACAAGTAGATGACAGTGTGCAATCCAATGAAACTGATGCAGAGAGTGATGAACAAGAAGCATCTGAACAAGAATATGACAGTGCACAGTCTAATGAAACTGATGTGGAAAGTGATAAACAAGAAGCATCTGAACAAGAAGATGACAGTGCACAATCTAATGAAGAAAGTGATGAACAAGAAGCATCTGAACAAGAAGATGACAGTGCACAATCTAATGAAGAAAGTGATGAACAAGATGACAATGTGCAATCTGATGAAACTGATGTAGAAAGTGATGAACAAGAAGATGACAGTGTGCAATCTGAAGAACAAGAAGTAGCTGAACAAGGAGATGACAGTGTGCAATTTAATGAAATGGAAGTAGAAAGTAATGAACAGAAGACAGCTGATTTACATCAATATACAGCAGAGCAAGAAGATGACAGCATGCCTAATGAAGTTAAAGTAACAAGTGATGAACAATCCAATGAGTTACATCAACATACTGTTGAACAAGAAGATGCCAGTGTACAATCGAATGAAATTGAAGCAACAATTGATGAACATTCTAAAGAAATTCGAGAAAATGATGAACAGAAGACAGCTGAGTTACATCAAAATACATTTGAAGAAGAAGCAGCCAGTGTACAATCTAATGAAATTGAAGCAAACTATGGTGTACAGGGAACAACTGAGTTATATCAAAAAACGGTTGAACAGGATGGCAGTGTGCAACCTAATGAAGCTGAAGTAGGCAGTTATGAAAAAGAGGTAGCTGAACAAGGAAATGATACTGTACATTCTAATGAAATTGAAGCAAAAAGTGATAAAGAAAAAATAATTGAACAAGGAGAAGAAAAAAATGAAGAAGAAGCTGAACAAGGCAATGACAGTGTATGCTCTAATAAAACTGAAGTAGAAAGTAATGAACAAGAAGTAGCTAAACAAGGAGATGATAGTGTGCAATCTAATGAAATTGGAATGGAAAGTGATGAACAGAAAGCTGCTGAGTTATCATTATTATTATCATTATATGAAAATACAGTTGAACAAGGAGATGATGAAGCTAAAGTAGAAAGTGATGAACAAGAAGTGGCTGAACAAAAGGATGACTGTGTACAGTCTGCTGAAATTGAAGTAGAGGGTAATAAACAAGAAGTAACTGAACAAGGCAATGACAGTGTGCAATCTAATGAAATTGGAATAGAAAGTGATGAACAGAAAGCTGCTGAGTTATCATTATATGAAAATACAGTTGAACAAGGAGATGATGAAGCTAAAGTAGAAAGTGATGAACAAGAAATGGCTGAACAAAAGGATGATTGTGTACAATCTGCTGAAATTGAAGTAGAGAGTAATGAACAAGAAGTAACTGAACAAGGCAATGACAGTGTGCAATCTGAAGACATTGAAGTAAAAAGTGATGAACAGAAAGCTGCTGAGTTACATCAAAATACAGGACAAAGAGACAACAGCATGCAATCCATTGAAATTGATGTAAAAAGTGATGAACAGGAGATAGTTGAACAAGGAAATGACAATGTACAATATAATGAAATTGAAATAGAAAGTAATAAACAGAAGACAGCTGAGTCACACCAATATGCAGAACAAGATGACAGCATGCAATCCAATGAAGTTAAAGTAACAAGGGATGAACAATCCAATGAAATTGAAGAAGGAAATGATGACCAGAAAGCAACTGTGTTATATCAAAAAGCAGCTGAACAAGGGCATGCCAGTGCACAATATAATCTTGCACAATGTTATAAAGATGGAATTGGAGTAGGAAAAGATGAAAAAAAGGCAGTAGAGTTATACCAAAAAGCTGCTGAACAGGGACATGCCAGTGCACAATATAATCTTGCTTTATGTTATAGTGATGGGATTGGAGTAGATAGAAATGAACAAAAAGCAACTGACTTAATTCAAAAAGCAGCTAAACAAGGAGATGCCAGTGCACAATTTAAGTTGGCCACATATTATAAACTTGGACAGGGTGTAGAAAAAAGTGAGCATAAAGCAATTGAGTTAACTCAAAAAGCAGCTGAACAGGGACATGCTGATGCACTATTTAAGCTGGCTTCATGTTATAGACTTGGAATTGGAGTAGGAAAAAATATGCAAAAAGCAGCTGAGTTGACTCAAAAAGCAGCTGAACAAGGGCATGCAAATGCCCAGTACAACATTGCCATATATTATAAAAATGGAACTGGCATAGAAAAGAATGAACAAAAAGCAGTTGAGTTCTTTCAAAAGGCAGCCAAGCAAGGACATACCAATGCACAATCCAAGCTGGCAGCATATTATAAACGTGGAATTGGAGTAGAAAGTAAATGAGCAAAAAGAATTGGGATTGGATTAATTGTTGAACAATGATATACTGAAAATATAATAACATTTTAATGTATCCAGTATTAGTATTAGTATTAGTATAGCATGACTGTATATTAATATTAATATTGTAATAATGGAATTGAAATAAAACAAGAATACAAAACAAAAACAAAAAGCAGAATGAGAATTAATTGCACTATTACTATATAATCCCCTAAGATGGAATTGACAGGAAAACAGGTGTTGTGTGTTTATGTAACCATTTTACAATTATGATTTTAGTGTACACTTGTGAACGGTAGCATTAGAAAGAGCGATTGATCAGGTGATCATAATGTTGAGATAGAGTAGTACGAGTATGACAATCATTCGCAAAATCAAAGAAACCTCATTTTATTTCTTATATTTTATTGGATTTTGATAGCTGCAGTAGTTAGAAATTAGTTCCCAAAGATATATAAACGGTCGTTATTAGTTATCCGACCAGATGTACTCATGCTTTGATATATGACTCAACTGAATGCTCTGAGCAATAAATACTCTGATATCTTACTCAACCCGAAAGATGAGCAGAAAATTCTAAGCATTAAAAGTGCTGTCAGATATAATGTTTGGCACATATTGCTTGAACGTCTAATACTAATGCTTTTTGTATATTAATTACATAATATTGGGGGGGTTAGATATCGGTAGTATCACAAACATAGGGGACCTCTTATCGTTATATAGGGCATGCTGCAACAAAACCAGACAAAGTGAACATTTTATTATGTGACATAAATGAGAGGCTGGTTATGATGTGACTGTAAAATTGACTGGGGTGACTGACAACATTTGAAAAGTAATAATGGCAAACTCTTCTTTTAGAATTCCTTTTGAGCAACTACAATGGCAACCAATCTCCAAGGAACGCATGGCTTTCTCATACTCAGTAGAACCATTTACAGTCAACTCTCCCTAAATGCACGCCCTTGGGACTGAAAAATTGGGAGCGTGCATTTAGGAAGTTTGTACTAGTAAATCACGTGACAATAGTAATGATGATATTATCGTTATATTTACATAATAATCATTGCGTAAAATACTGTCTTTGGGAATTCCCAATCCATTTGCTAATAATTTAGCCCGCTCGATTAGAATAGCATCGCTCAATATAGTTTGATGTTGACGTATTAGAACAAACTCTTTAAGAGCCTGCTCAAGTTCTGGATATGTAACTGATCTGTGTCGTTTTGCATCTGGAGTCGTAATTTCATTATGTAGTAACAAATCTTTCTCTTGAAGAATACGCGTTATTGTAGATTCATTAACTCTAACTCCCCATTTATTTTCAACCCAGTTAACATATTCTGTTCGAGTTTTATCATTATCACGAGCATACAGACAAAGCTCATATTTTTGAATGTCTGTTAAAGTAGTCTTATTTTTTGGAGGCATGTTAAAAGTATAGCGTTTATTGAAAAGCTGAAATTTGTCAATATAGTAATTAGTTAACAAAAGATTGTCACTGCGATGACTACGCGAATGTATGCTCTTTAAATAATTATTTCAGGCAAAGTATGAAATAAAATAATTAGAATGTGGTAGTCAAATTTACGTGTATTCGTTAATTGAAATCATGTCTATAAATTTATTCGTTAATTGATATCATGTCATGTAAGGTTATTCGTAAATTGATATCACGTCATATTTAACGGCTCAATTAAATATATTATAAATAACACGAATAGACAAAAGTCGATTTAAAATATGACCTGATGTTAGAAGGCGCTAACGGCCTGATTAAGATTCGCTAAAAGTATTACCTAACGTATGGCGCAGATACTGTACTAGCCGGGAGTTGAATAGAGGACACTTGCGGGATGGCGGATATTCTACCACTACACTATTAAAACCAAAAGATCACGTGCGTGCATTTAGGGAGAGTATTTTCATATAAGAATTTTCCTCGGAATTGCAAAATCGGTTGCACGTGCAGAATAGGAAGAGTGTGCATTTAGAGAGAGTGCATTTAGAGAGAGTCGACTGTATATTCGTAAATATTAAGTTCAATTCTTCATATGCAAGAATTTGCGATGTAGCACCATGACATGTGACTGCAAGTGATGAATGACCAATAATTGATGATCAGCTATACGCGAAATATTACTTGAATTGAACGCGCAAAAAGATTCGTTCACCTATTCTTGTCAATATACTGTACGTCTTCACAAAGGCAAGTATATGATTTATTTTATTGTTATGCTATCAGTCGCGCGCATCCCTACTGGCGTATGGCCATTACGTCCTGCGTTGGATGTTTGGTGCTAGTCTCCAGGGAAGTACTTAGGCGCATACTGATCCCTGCATGCTAGTATCCAGGATGTGTGTATACCTACTGGCATATGGCCATTACGTCCTCTGTCAGATGTTTGGAAGCAAGCCTCCAGGGAAGTACTCGAGACTGATCCCATGCATGCTGTTTCCAGTATCCGTTGAGGTATGCTTTGTCGATTTATCAGTTTATATGCAAATATACGGTTATTAATATTAGTTAGTAACTAATACTCTTTTTTCTTTCAAGATGTTCAAGTCTATTATAACAGAATATCTCAACAATATAAAATACGGAAATTGGACAATTATCTCCATCTTAATCCAAATGTCAATTATATACCGATTCCATTGACACTCTTAAAAAGGATATGTACTCAACTTTACGTAAATACGAAAATAATTCTGACAATCACAAAAATATCTCAAACAGACTGGGTAAAATTCTATCTGATTTCGAGAAATCGTTTTCTACGGCCGAAGTAAAAGAATTCATTGACAAACTTCGAGCGGAACAAGAAGAACGTGAATTTGATAGAGCTTTCCAAGTCGATGTTACATCTGCCTGCACAGTTAAAGCTTTACGGGTCGGTTTTGAAACAGTCGTGGGGATGAATTTTGCCATGGCCTAATTTGCAACCTTATTATGTAGGGCTATTGCACAAATCGAACAATCATCAACGAGTTAAAAAATGACAAATGCGAGGTGGGTAAATTTTCGATTATGGTCAGGCTTTTACAGCTACAGAAGGATTTATTTTCAAACTATATTGTTTATGGCATTCTTAGTATGGAGAGGCTTCTACAAGGGAACTCAGAAATATTGCACCTGTTGATCATAATAACAGTTCGAGTGAAACTATCTTTTCTGATTCGGACGATGAAGGGGTGAGTAGCATAAACCTTTGACGTCGATGGAATATAGTGTTGATATCATCATTGTTTTGAAAGTGTTGCAACGTATCTTACTTTGGGGTTCACACAACTTAATTTCAATTTCTTGATATGCTATCTAGGATAAGTCAGTATCAGTAAGCAGGCTTACCAAGAGATTTTTGGACAATGCTGAAACAAGCCCCCCAAAACGGTTAATAAAGGTTAGTGACTGCTTTATCTTACAACTTTGTGCATCTCTATTGATTTTTAATTAATTATCAGGAGATGCATGAACAAGACTCGGAATCGAATGATGACTTCTACCCCAATTCAGTCAATTCGGATTCTGAAGGACAAGTTGATGGATGTACAACTCCAACACCATATTCCATAGAAGATCTTGCAGAGGACGAAAAGCTCATAATAACTGATGCCTCTTCACAAATACCATTATCAAGTTCAGAATTTGACATGTACATAAACGATGTTAACATATCCGCTGGATTCAGAACATACATTGACAAGGCTGTATCACTGGCTAAGACTAAGGGGCTATATGTTGAGATGAAATTTTATCACTGTCATCAATACTTGTTCTTATACCGAACTCATACCCGGCTAATATGTTGAAACCTTTTGGCCTAGACTTGCTGGAGTCAATACATCAAGAATGTATGCCGAAGTTATCTTTACAATTGGATGTGGGGATTGAAAATATGTATAGAAGTGTTGTAAAAACGTGTTTGAATGATTCACGTGAGAAGGGTCAAATTTCTATGTACAAACATTGGTCAAAAAGATGAACTTATAGATAATGTCAAGATTTTGTCGTCACGACACATACCAACCTGTTATTTCCACTTAGTCTAAAAAAATTTGTATACCGATTTAATGTTTCTAATCGATTTCGATTATAAGATACTCCCCGATTTAGGTTAAGACGTACCAGGATGCCCTTCTGCGTTTTCTATTATAACCCAAATTCGATAACGTTATTAGTTCTGACCCGCATGAAAGACGTAATGACTGGTGTTTGTATGCTAGTTTGGTGATCGTGGCTGATTTCTGTCATTAAGTTATATGTTAATTATTAAATACCGAGTTAGCCTTATCGCGAGTTTGACGAACCGATTGCAATTGTGCATCATTTGTAGAGGCGTATAGCCAGTATCTAGTTCGTTATATATACGCTATCACGTAAATGCTAATGCTATCATGTAATGCTATCAAGCTATGCTATATATACGCTATCTGGTTATGCTATCAATTAATGCGACCAAATATGTATACTCAGTATATCACGATAATGCTATCATGTATATGCAATCGGGCCATGCTATCAA